TACCCTAGAATATTCGTCGAACAATACTGAGTATTCAATTATTGGTACATTGAATGTAGAAGTAATAAAGAGAATTTATATATGAACGTAGCAAAAATTTGATACAAATTGAATTAAATAGTATGAAAGTCGCATTGCCGAAGTTAAATGTGAAATTTTTTTAAATTGAATCGCGATATAAAAGTTCCGGAAAACACTTATACCTGCGAATTTGTATCTGATCAATAAATTATTATTATTATTATTATTATTATTATTATTATTATTATTATTATTATTATTATTATTATTATTATTATTATTATTATTATTATTATTAGTATTTTTATTTATAAAATTTGAAGAAAAAAATTGAAATTTCTTTTAATAGAAGAAATTAGACTGTAATGCTCTTACAAATTTATAATCGTGGGTACAGTAAACAGACACATAGTGAAAAGTTTGTCGGAACTACACTGCACAACTTTGCAGTAAATGGCACGTCTTGATATAATCGCTTCCACAGTTAGCACACATTGCTCGTAAGTTGGAAGTTGATTTGCATGAAGCTACCTCGAATTAGCAAGCAACTTGTCGAGCGGAAATAAAATTATAGCTAACGCGAGAGACGCATATCGCTGGTAAGATGTGAGATAAGGAATTCATTACGTACAAATATCTTGTTAGAAAAATATGCATTTAAATAAATAATAAATATTATAACATATGACAGCGAGAAGTAAAGTTATTGGACTGAGATTTAAAAAAGAAAAAAAAAGAAAAGTGTGACAGCGAAAGGATATTGAAGAAAAAGGTTTGTTTCTTGAACAATAAGAAAAATAGAGACACGAACATTTAAATAATGACTAAGTTATTAAGAATTCACGTTCTGCTTTTATATAAATCTGTTCTTACGAATGTTGAAAGTCGATTGATATTGTATATTATATGAGTCTAATTGAAGAAGAGATGTAGCGGCAGTAATGCGATGATTCCAAATAGCTCAATGAAGATTTGGAATTCGTCAATCGCAAATTGAAAACGAGGTAGAAAGTACGCACTTCGCCGAGAGTATTAGTTTCCAAAACTGCGAATCTATTTGTCGCAAATGTGTAGGTTAACTTCCTTTTACAAATCTTTAAATCTTTACTACGTTGGATTTCCAACTTTAAACTTTCCATTACACTTAATTTCACGAAATATCTCACGCCGAGATAATTATTTTATTTTTTATGGGATGTTCGTTGTCTACAGGAATAACCAATAATATTTGCAAGTTCTTTGAGTTTTCGAATCTAACTCGTGTTGGATATTTTACGCGTGGACGTTTTTTCATTGGCAACATTTTATATCGAGGAGATAAGAAAAATGAAAACGATAAGCGTAAAACACCTGTGGCTATTAATTGAATGATTTTAACTAACATATACTTTTTTGCATATCTATTTATGAAAAGTTTTTTTTGCTATTATCATGGCTCGTTTTGCACGATGACCAAAAGGCAAAGGAATTACATTCAAGTTCTTTTTTATGACTTATCGCGGGTTTAAAATGAAAGTTTTAATGTTTCTGTCTGATGGTATAATAGTGTTTTATTAGCTATATAACGCAAAGTATAGTTGAATGGTTATTAAATCGAAATTTTAATCAAACGAACATTTCTAACGTTAAGAGCTTTTTCGCAGGGAGGCGACTCACTGTAAACTCCATTGTACTTTGTCGTGAATCTCAGGTAGATGTTGGTTTGATTGAGAGATTTTAGAGACTTGCTTCTTATTGCTTGTTTCATAGGTCGGCAATCGTAAACTGAACTGTTTTCTTTTGTACTATTTGTTTCATTTTATAGCAAAAAAGATTGAGTTTTCAATATAATTAACTATTTTAAAAATTGTTTTTGCTAATATTCTTTATTAGACATAGTTTTGTAGAATAAGATCTACTACATATAATAAGTATTTTATTTTTTTACAGAAAAAAATTTACATGTTTGTAAAAGCAAGAGCACGTGATGGGCAACAGTAAGGATAGAGCTGACATCTCGTGGTTTTATATCAATTTAAGTTGGAATAGTAAATTGTGTTCGGCCGATAAGTAAGCGATTCCACGTGCAATCGAAAAATTATATATATTTGCAGCTTGAAAACTAGATGCACCACATTTTCCGTGCGCGGAAAAATAATAATTTATAAAGTAATTTTGATTGTATTCCTCTTAGTGTTATAATATTACTTTACTCATAGATCATAATATGCAAACACAGTCTCAGATTTTGAAAATGAATTTCTCCGTTTGTCGCTTAATAATAATTATATCCTTACAACATAGTAATACTCGTATAAATGTCATTAAACAATCAAATATTTCTACCTATATGGTCTCTCAGTACAAGTGGAATAGCTTGTTGCATATGAATTCATATATCTAATTTTTTGTTCTTTGATATAACTTTTGCATGATGAAAACAGTATCAATAATGAAAAGAATATTCTATCTTTATCATCCTTTTTAATCTTGTGAATTCTTTTCTCAATGTTCGAAACACCCATATATGGTCGTCATTGGTAGATGTTATCGTTGCTTCGTCAATTGAATTTTGATTATCAGATGTAGTTATCACTAATTTATAAATATATATGATTTGGTATCACCCGATAGTCGTTATTATATTCTGATCGCTGTTTATAAAAATGCTTTTACAGTAGCTTACAGAACTAAATATTTCGCGATGAAAATACCTTATCAATTCTTACAACTCTATTGGAAATAATTTTTACGTAAAATTGTTACACGCTGTACTTATTCGCAAAATAGTTTATAAATGTCAGATTTTAAACACATATAACGGTTATTAACAGTATTTTTCTGTCAGTAATAATTATATACAGTTATTAACAGTTATAGACAATTTTGGAAACGCACTTTTTTATGATAAAAAATTTTCTATTAATAGCAGTTATGAACAGTTTTAAATCAATTTTAAAACTGCAAATAATAGTTACTTATAGTTTATTCTAATAGGTAATTGGTGATAACTGGTATTTGCATCTATTATTTCTCAAAATAAATTTGTTTTGGTGAATAAAAATGCTAATAACCGTTAGTAACTGAAAAAAAAACTATTATTTAATAATGACAGTTTTTTAACAGAAAATAATTCTAATCGTATCCAAAATCTGACGCTTATAAACGGCTATAAATTGTAAATAACCGTTAGCAAATTTTACTAACTGATGAATGCGATTTATTATAATTTTATGCATAAAATTTTTTTCGACAGGGAATTAAAGTACTTACTTTCGTTCTTCCTCTTTAGTTTTACCGTTTATTGGTATGAGAAAGAGTTGATAATGTCAGTAAAGGTATCTTTTGCTCCTTTTATATTCTGATCTGCAGTTATCGAATCTAAATTTTTTTAACAAATTAATGTCTTATATCTTTCTATTTTATTTTCATTACTTTTATTAAAAAACAATAAATGTGTCGTATTGCAGATACACATTATATCACTCATTAGAAACTAAATTTTGTATTACTCGTACCTTCAACAGTCTTATTCTCACTTGATTAGATCGAGTTATGATTTGGTATCATAGTTTCACAGATATCACTTCAAGCTTAATTTAGCTCTGAGAAATATTGGCAAATTCAACCTTGTAATAATTGTAAATTATAAATTTATAAATTGCTGGCCTTTTTTTATTTCATGAATAAAATATGAGGATTCTCATTTGATTATTTGCCATTCATGTGAAAATTACTTATAATTACAGCATTAAAGATTATGTTTCGTTGCTTCGATAAACCTTATTTTGAGGTTAAGTCTCTGTTGTGGCATGTTCGATAAGTATGTACACTGAGAAAGTAAATATAAATAATTAAGATTTCTTGAGCTTTCAATAAAGATTTAATATATTTAAAAAACTGTTAATTACAGTGTAAGACTAAAAAACGATTATTTTAATTGAAGGAGAATAGAATATAAAGTGGAACTATCATTATTTTAAGATAGAGCTTGTAATGATAAGAAAATTTAAATGTAGGAACGTAGTGTAATTATTGTTTAAGCTTGTAAATCATAGTTTTTATAGAATACTATAAAAATGAAATTTTCATGTTTCCGATTACACATCAGCGCAACCTCTTTACTATAATACTTTATAATGTTTGTAATGTTGAGAGTTTGGTGAAAATGACACTTAAAAAAATCATCAATCATTACGACTGCTCTCAATAGAGCTGAGTCAGAGCACTCATCATACTTAAATAATTTTTTGCTCGACATATCCTTGCGGGCGTTACTTATATAGAGTCATTAGAAAACTACGCGCACAGACAATGGGCTGCTAAAAAAGATTTCCGACTGAAAAATCGTCGCAAAGTGGTACCACCAGCAGCACTCATCAGAGGCCAAAAGGCGGCGGCGACCGACGGCGAATAGCCCGCATGTGCAATTTTCATCTTTTATAATTTCATTTAGGACAAATCAAAATTTTTGCGCCGAGTTAAATCGTTACAATCGTGCCCAATTATTCGTTCTGGAGAACCTGAATGGGGGCATGAATTTGAATGGAAAAGCCGGCATCGCTGCGATTGGTCCTCTGCCAACTAACGCGGGAGTCTTTTCGACCAATCGCATCTTTTTAATCGAGATGTCGTTCGATGCCTACACACGTGTGTGCAGATAAGACATGCAAATCTTTGCTTTCGTCGATAATACACCTGTATCCAAGTGCGAGGCATTCACTCGTAATAAAAGTAAAATAAAGAAAGAAACATTGGAATTGAATGGCAGAATGCACGTACGCTTTAGTGAGCCGGTGAGAAAGGTCAGATAAGAGAGGATGCATCTCGACTCTGGTCTCGGAGCCGGCATTAATGAAAGTAAATAGACTGAATAAGCAGGCGGCCGACCATGGGAGCATATGCGAATAGAGGGGCACGTATAGTTTTGAAGGGAAGAGTAGGGGAGAGCGAAGCCGAGCCCCGCTGTCGGTGCGCTGGTCGCTCGTTTCAGTGTTGCGGCTCAGTCGTCAGCGTGACGCGCTAGCAAACTTCTGCCCATTCTTTTTCTTTTGCCGTTCAAGTACACCGTACCTTCGAACAATTTCGACATGCCCGAGTTCCTTGGAAAGAAGTACAAACTCGCCACCAGCGAGAACTTTGACGAACTCATGAAGGCACTCGGTAAGTACGCCTCTATCCATCCTACATATATTTTTTTACTCCGTCTCTCCACGTATAGAGGATAGAAGGGCGTGCGAAGGAGCTCTCGCACGATCTATCTGCGCCGCCGCAGTGTGGACCAATCTGCGTTGGCAATTTCTGTCTCGCCACTCTCCCTCTCTCCTTCATCCGTTTGTTTTTTCTTTTTTGAACATCAATTGAAAAGTTATGGCGAGTAGCCTAGTTAATGACATGCGATGTTCGCGACAGCGTAATCATGGAACAGACTCTGGCTGCTTGGCTTAATACGGGTACTATTGAGTGACTTGAAAACCGGTTTTTCGACACGCTTGACGTACGTGTTTTGTATCACCTCCAATATAAGTGGCATAATGATAGTTTTTTTTTTATCTCGTCGATATTACGCGACGTATTCTAAAGATAGCACAGAAGGAATTCGAAGAAGGATGAAAAATCCGTGGTAACGACGGTTAATCGAATCAATTTTAATTTAGCAGTGCAATGAACTGACGTACGCAGCATGCAAGCGGCCCAGACAGACCAATTGTCAGCCAATTTAGATGCCTGAATTTATCATCGTGGCGAGCATTCTCTCTGTTCAACTTGAAAAAAGAAAAAAAAAACACTCAAGATATAAAATCGCGTACCTGCAGAAAAGTAAAACGAACACGCGATTAAAACTACAGTTGGCCTTTGAACTCGCGCGGAACGAGCGCACGTAATTTCGTTCTTACGGCTTAACAGTTTCTCGAGTATACACGTACCGACACGGCGTGATTATGTACTTACTCAAACTCGACGTTCTCACCGCATGCGTCTGCGTGTGCGCGCGCGTGTATGCCGGCTGCACGCTAAATTGGCCGTGCGCGCGCTTGAATCTTAATTGATGGCGAATCCAATATGTGACTTGCAAATGGATATTGTACAGCGTGGCTTTTCGATTTTATCAATTTTTTTTTCATCGCGTCAACATTACGATCTTTCATCGAACGTTAATCCGTTTCGACATGGGTACGCCTGAATAAAAAAAAGCAACCGAGAGAGAAACGTTGACCGGCATTTCTTTGCGAATTTTCAAGAACTTCCATCCGATTCATCAATGAACTTATCAAACGGAAGGTCAAATCAGATCTTGACCGAGACGATTAGATTGATAGGCGGGGGGAGAGGGGGAGGGGGGGGGCAGCGCACACGCCTATACCGCATTCTTATAACTTTCGCGATACCGGTAGACAGTATTGATCGATTCCCTAACGAAATTCTTATTTGATTGACCAATTATGCATTATTAGGAAAAGCACCAATAGCTAAATAATTAAGTATTCATGTTGGTGAGAAACGTGCATTAAAAATAGACTGAAGTGACACGTGGATTCTTTTTCTAAAGTGACATTGAGACTCTGCGAAATGGCAAGAGATTTTGTTAAAATAACGTTTCGCAATAGCGAACGTGAATATCAAGAGAAAGTTGGCTACTCGAAAAATGAAACAATGAGTCTTGACAATAGGTAATTTCGCAGGAAACGAGGCAGGACGGGCAATAACTCCTCCTTCCCTATATTTAATCTTCCTTGAACTCGATAATTTGTGCTGTCCGTAAATACAAGCGTGACTCTGCGTTTGTGTGCTTGTTTAATGACGCCAGGAACGTCACTTTGCGCCCTCTCCTCGAATTTTTGCGATTCTATATCTCTCTTCCACACATGCCCGCTATCTTCGAGTCTTATCGTCTGCCTCGGCAAACACTTGCACATTTTTTTTTTCAAACTCCGAAAAAGCCTTGCGCTTGTGTGTGCGTTGGCGAATCAGAGTTCACTTTCGTTGACATGAAGTGATCGATAAGTATAAGATTGCGGCGCCTTATAAATCGCAGTGCCGGCTAACGACGTATGTCAGTTCTATTCGAGTTTCTTAAAGTTACAAGCTCCTTCGAAAATTCGTAATAATGGCTGACTTTTTGGGAAAGCAGTACAAATTGGTCAGCAGCGAAAACTTTGACGACTACATGAAAGCCATTGGTGAGCCATTCGATTACATATGCGAAACGAAATCAATTAATAGTCTATTCTTTTTGCTTGCCAAAATTTGTAACGTTATCATTACATATGGACAACGTCGAATCAAAATATATGTCTCTTATAGCAGTTGTTTGCGGTTATTTTTAGCTGTATTATCATTTTTAATACTTACGTGGCAACATTTTGAAATTGATATAGGCCTTCCGTTACGAGATTCTTGCGTTGTTGAAATTCAAAACTGTGAATAGTAAACGTGTACTTGACTACATACAGTTATATATTTTTATTTTCCTGCAAAAAATTTAATATTGTTTATTATTACTGAACACAATACATTTTTGATTGAACTTAACGCATAAAAATACATTTATCAAATGAAAGATGGTAATGAATTGTTGGATAAAAGTAATTTATTTATTGAACCTATATAAACCATAAATTAAGTGACTTATTGAAAAAGAAAGAAATGAAATTGATCGAAAAAATAATGTTTGTAGGTGTCGGCCTCGTCACTCGTAAGATGGGTGCGGCTGTTAGCCCAGTGGTCGAAGTGACTGAGAAGGATGGTGAATATACGATGAAGACTCAGAGCACCTTTAAAAACTCCGAAATCAAGTTCAGGCTGGGCGAAGAATTCAATGAGGAAACACCTGATGGACGCAAAGTCAAGAGTATCATCACTCTCGACGGTAACAAGATGACTCACATCCAGAAGGGTGACAAAGACACCGTTATCGAACGTGAATTCACCCCTACGGAAATGAAGGCTGTGAGTATATCTTATTGCGCATGTGAGTGTTAGTTGCAATCGATATATTACTTCATGCGATGTGTTTACTTCGTTTCAGGTAATGAAAGTTGACGACGTTGTTTGCACCAGGGTCTACAAGGCTGAAAACTAATCTGCACTTGATAATTATTTTATGATTTTTATACAAGATTTTTATTTTGTTCTCTTTTTTTAATGTTTTTGATACTGAGTAGATGCACTATTAGCAAAAATTTAATGGTGCAAAGTTTACTTTATTGAACTTCGTACATTTTTTTTATTAAATTTTGTATGCCATATGATCAGATATTTATATTTGTGCCGAATTTATGATGCTTGCCAATATTGTACGGAAATAAACTTTCGTAATAAACATTTTGATAGTAGTTTTATTAACTCTTTTGTCCAAGACAAATCACAATTAAATCTTGATTTTTAAAAAAAAGCTCTCGTATTAAAATATGTTTATTAAATAAGGGTTCCTTTCCAAACGAAGAAGAAATTTAAAAAAATACACTTTCATTTGACTTCATGATATTTCTTACACGGCTAGTTTGATCAATTTTTGAAATTTACCGCGCAGATAACTCGCTCGGTATATTAGGAAACTGTATACAATATTATTTGGCTAGACAGCTGCTATAGTCTATTATGACTCCCTCGTAAAGTTGTAACTCGGGTATTTTTATTTATGAATGTCTTTCTGCTTGTCGTAGCTGGTTGAAAGTCGTCGATATGAATTGAATATGAATTGATTCATGACTTTGAAAATGAGAATTAATACAATGTCAAACATGGTAAGTTTTTACTGCATTTATCATTAATTGATTTATCATCGTGCATGTTTTGTTGCAACGTTAACTACTGTGCATTACTCTACACAAAGTTTCGTTTATGTACCTAATTCACTAACACCAAATGATTCATAACCTCGATCTAGCTTATTAAGTATAATTTATATATAATTTTCAGGCCATTTCAGGAGCACAATTGGTCCTTACGTTGATTACGGTCAGTGTAATTAAAAAATTAGGCTCACACTTTTCTATTGCGAAACGGATTTTATATTCTACTGGGTATTCTTTTCGATGTATTCATTTTTTAATTTATAATTTTATTAGAAATAAACATACATATTTATTGATTGCAGATTTACCTCATACTTGTATCCCATAGATCAAGCACTGAGGAGGCTTGTTGATTTTCCTAAAGAGCAATATTCATTTTTCCAAAAAATACCAACTTCAAGTTCATTTTTTTCAATTATTTACAAAGCATTGCTGCAATCATGTTAAGAATATAACAGGACCATCTTGGAAGCATACCTTTTCAAATAAGATCATCCTTATTGAAATTGGTTGAATAATTATAGAGATGCGGGAATATACATAAAAAAAAAATGATTTAAGTTAAATACAGAATCTTGTTCTTTTTAAACCCAAAAAAGAGAGACTCAAATAATGGAAAACTCTTTGACATTTTCAAAATTCTGATATTTAATGATTAATTACCAATGGATTATATACCAGTCAATTATAATTATTTTACTATGAGAATTTTTTTTTTCAAATTACAAAGTTAATGTAAGGAAAATATTTTGTTATCATTGCTTAGTTTATAACATAAACTATAATTATTATATAACTTAAAATGACACAGAATGCGTTTGAAAGAGTATAAAAATAATTCTTATAACTATCATAGCCCTTATTTCAAAGTTAATTTTAATACCTATTTATCTACAATCTTATTTGAGTCTCGCTAAACAAAGATTGGATATTTAGAAGAAAAAAGCTTCTAGAATATCAAACTTTTTAAGAAAAAGGTTGGTTTTTTCATTTTATTGATAAAATATTTTAAATAAAAAATACTCAGTATATTTTTGATAATTTACAGATGGCAGCAGTAATTTACTACTTTTGCGTCATATCGCACCATTAAGTAAAAGTTTCTACTGTACATTCATATATAAAACGTTAGGTATGTAACCAATAATAATGATGAATTAATGATAAATTTATATACATTGCAAAATTTTTAGGAGGATATTCGAGGAAAGTTATTTGTAAACAAGTTGAATTAAAGACCGAAGCATTACCAGAACCAAACATTTTTCTCGAAAGACGAAGATAAGGCAAATCTTTAGTTCACAACCTTAAGGTGACTCCACCAAATTTTGTTTTACGGCATAATCGAACAAAAATATTTATATAGATAGTATTGGGTACGAGCTTATAAATTCCGTAAAAGTAAATGGAGGTTATTGACCTTAATAAAGAGAAATAAATTATCAAAGTTGAGTCGTTATACGTCGGTGACATAGGTCATTGCGTGTTCACCATTTCCTCTAATAATTTTAATAATAAATGACAGATACTTTCCGAAAAACCTTAATTTTGTCCAGTATAACTACTAAATTGGTATCTCAAAAAAAGTATTGATCCTCGAACTAATAAAAAAGATATTGAAGAAAAACATGACGAATCGTCACATTTTAGAGACAAAATCGTGAAAATATTGATCTAAAACAAATTTTCTTTAGATATTTTTTCACTATTAAATGTGAAATATTTCATTTTTGAATGTGCAAACAAATATAAAACTATTTTTAATAAATGTTTCAGTGTTAGAAAGATAGCAATTTTATGAAACTTTCAATGGTGCCTCAATGTGGTAAAGTTCGTCCTGATGGAGCCACCTAATATTAATAAAATAGGTAAAATTTTATTTCAAACAAAAATTATCAGTTAAATTCAAATTGGTTTTTTCAGATTTATTTATTATTTATAATGAATGTATTTATAGAAGTTTTCGGGTAGACGAGATGGTGATATTATTTCACGTTATTTGCAACAATAGTAATGGGGATGCATCATTAAAGTTATTTTCCTCAAAACAAAAGTTCAAAAATAGAAAAAGTACAGAAAGGTATCAAACCTTTTTATACAAAAGAAAAATATCGAAGCTATATAGATAAAAGTATAGATAAAGAGTAACAAAAAAACTGATATCCACAATATTGTGACAACTATGGTTGAAAGGTCCATTCATCTGGGAAGTCAAACGCTTAATAATGAGCTTTTTTTATATATACATCGATTATTAGTCTGCTAAGTAGTTGTTAATAAGTGATATTTCATTCTGAACGCCCTTTAAATTTGGAAGTCTATAAAAAGAAAATTACATCATCACTTTTTTTGTGGAATCTACCGAAGTTTCATGAACAAGAAAATGGAAAACCTTTCCTACATTAATCAACAAAGAAAAAAAAGTACTCGTGAACAGCCTTCGCAATTTGTATATGAAAATTACAAATCAAACGTGAGAAAAATAAAAATATTTCAGAGCGTTATACAAGACTTTTAAAATTCTCGAAACAACGAGAACATTAGCCTCCTCCTCGTCCAGTAGATTTCGCTATCTATCAAAAAATGAATCGATCACACGGTAAGCAAGAATGGCACGATAGGTCCGGTAAAGAAGGCGTTGATTGGTGCTAAATTCTAAAAATAAACTGACCCTGCAGTAGAGAGTGTGTTTATACAATACGATTCCAGTGTCTTCGATTTGCTCTGCTGCTGTGATATATATATTTCTCGTTTCTTCTCTCTCGATAAACTCGCGCGAGACCGACAGCGCCATACTCGAAGCTTCTCGAATGCGATTCGTAAATGTTAAAAGAGCGCGCGGGAAGCGACGCACCTCACAAAGCTTAGACGGATCTCACCAAGTGTGTTGCATTCAGTGTGTTAGTCAAACTCATAGCGAGGAGCACTTTTCGTATATTTACTTGCAAGATTTTATAGAGACTGACTAAGGTGAGTGGATAACAGTTAAATAGGTTAATTATTTCCGAAAGAGTTTTTCATTTAATTTCGTAGTGTGCGTTAGAAATCGAATCTCTACGTTGTGTTACGTTGCGTTTCATCGACGGTTCAAGGGCGTTCAGAAAAATTAGATCGTCGGAGAATACACACTTTTTTTTAATTTTTACGATAATTACGTTTGTTTTTCATTCCGCAACATAATGCTGGAAGTTGTCAAGTTATTTTTACCCACGAATTTAAATAACATTTGAAATTCAGTCGCCAAGTCAACTTACTTCTGCTCCAAAACTATTTAAATAATAAGCTGACGTTTTTCTTTGTACATTATGAAATTGAAGTGGCAAGCTTTAACTTACAATTGCAAACGAAATTGAAGTGCATAATTTTAATTTTAATTACACATGTACGTCAAGGTCAAGTGAAAGCGATCATATAGAATATTCGGTGGACGTTGTGTAAAGTAACTAAACCAGCTGAGTCACGATACCGTAGTACCACACACTTATTAGTCCTACACGAACAATGATCACATTCTTTGTTCGAGTGGCAATTAAAAATTGAAAACTTGTACTTTCTTGTATATAGAATTAACGATGACTAAGGCACCAGCAATTGGAATTGATCTAGGAACCACGTACTCGTGCGTCGGTGTATTTCAGCACGGTAAGGTAGAAATAATCGCCAACGACCAAGGAAATAGAACGACCCCGAGTTATGTGGCGTTCACCGACACCGAGAGACTTGTCGGAGACGCTGCCAAGAATCAGGTTGCTATGAACCCGAGCAACACTATTTTTGGTAAGCATCGTGCTCTAATGCCCATTTGTTGGCATTTTCTCCAATTTTCACTGCAATAATTAATTTGTTGATTTTTTTTTCAGATGCTAAACGTTTGATTGGTAGACGTTTCGATGACGCAACGGTACAGAGTGATATGAAACACTGGCCGTTTACGGTAATTAGCGACGGTGGTAAGCCGAAAATTCAAGTTTCGTACAAAGGTGAAAATAAGACCTTCTTCCCCGAGGAAGTATCGTCGATGGTCCTTGTCAAGATGAAGGAAATTGCCGAAGCTTACCTCGGTAAAACTATTACCAATGCCGTTATCACCGTCCCGGCGTATTTCAATGACTCACAGCGTCAAGCGACCAAGGACGCCGGTACCATTTCGGGTTTAAATGTGTTACGTATTATCAATGAACCCACAGCCGCTGCCATCGCTTACGGTCTCGACAAGAAAACCGCTGGCGAGAAAAATGTATTGATCTTCGATCTCGGAGGTGGTACCTTCGACGTCTCCATTCTCACCATTGAAGATGGGATTTTCGAGGTGAAATCTACTGCTGGAGACACTCATCTTGGTGGTGAAGATTTCGATAATCGTATGGTGAATCATTTTATTCAAGAGTTCAACCGCAAGTATAAGAAGGACATCTCGACCAACAAACGAGCAGTCAGACGTCTGCGTACTGCTTGCGAACGTGCCAAGAGAACCCTCAGTTCGTCCACCCAGGCGAGCATTGAGATTGACTCGCTGTTTGAGGGTATCGATTTTTACACATCAATCACGAGAGCGAGATTTGAGGAGCTTTGCGCTGATCTTTTCCGAGGCACTCTTGAACCCGTAGAGAAAGCTTTGCGCGATGCTAAAATGGACAAAGCTCAGATTCATAGCATCGTCTTGGTTGGTGGTTCAACTAGGATCCCGAAGATTCAGAAGTTGTTGCAGGACTTTTTCAACGGCAAAGAATTGAACAAGTCCATCAATCCTGACGAGGCTGTTGCCTATGGAGCTGCGGTTCAAGCTGCCATTCTGCATGGCGACAAGTCCGAGGAGGTACAGGATTTGCTTCTTCTGGACGTAACCCCGTTATCGCTTGGTATCGAGACTGCCGGTGGTGTGATGACCACTCTCATCAAGCGTAATACCACCATACCCACCAAACAGACGCAAACTTTCACTACTTACTCGGACAATCAGCCTGGAGTGTTGATTCAAGTTTACGAGGGCGAACGAGCAATGACCAAGGATAATAACCTTCTTGGTAAATTCGAGTTAACCGGCATTCCGCCGGCACCTAGAGGGGTACCTCAGATCGAAGTTACTTTCGATATTGATGCCAATGGCATCCTCAACGTTTCTGCCATTGAGAAGTCTACTGGTAAGGAGAACAAGATTACCATTACGAATGACAAAGGTCGTTTATCCAAGGAAGACATTGAGAGAATGGTCAATGAAGCTGAGAAGTATAGAGCTGAGGATGACCAGCAACGCGAGAAAATCACAGCGAAAAATGCTCTCGAATCATACTGCTTTAATATGAAGAGCACTGTCGAAGACGATAAAATCAAGGATAAAATTAGCGACTCTGATCGACAGGCCGTCTTGAACAAGTGTAACGAGGTCATCGCATGGCTCGACGCTAATCAATTGGCGGAGAAAGAAGAGTTTGCCCACAAGCAAAAAGAACTCGAAGCTATTTGTAGTCCTATTGTTACAAAATTGTATCAAGCTGGTGGTGCACCTCCAGGTGGTGCTCCAGGTGGTGCTCCAGGTGGCGCTCCTGGTGGACAATCTGCTGGTGGACCAACTATCGAAGAAGTTGATTAAGCATTTTTATATATGACTTGAATGTTTCGAAGAATTGCAGTCAAATCAAATTATCAGACTTTTTCCTTTGGTACTTATTGCTTTTACTTTCTAGTCATTTTTAACATTTGTAATCACGATTTCATATCAATGTAAAGTGTGACTGCAAGCATCATTCAAATTTTATATGCTTTTTTATGCAATGCCTATTTTTAAAATAATGCTAATTTATGTAATGTTGAATGTTTGTATAAAATATATATAGTTATATACAAAAACAATTGTTTTTCTTTTCCTGTGAATAATCGAGTTAGCGTAATGATCAAATAGGAAAAAATGAGCTTTATTTGCCCAACGTCTATATTACAATGTATCGTACAGTAAACATTCAAAATGGGCTAAAACAACGCTGTTTACATAGACTTTTATAAACATGCATGTCAATCTTTTTCCTCTCGTTCAATCGCTCTACTTCATTTATATTTATATTTGTTTGTTGCTTTTATAGATTTTATTTAAATACAGAACTCCTATTTGCAATAAATTAATGGAATTCTCGCGATTAACAATTTTTCTTTTCATTTTTTTTAACAATTATAGTTACTGGAATTCTCGTCGCTTATATATTATTATACATACTATAACGATCAATTGAACAATTGCATTCACTAACATGACATTATAGATGATTTTTTGAGACATCATGATTTAAAGTACTCGATAAAGCCTAGTTGCGTCTTCTCATATGCACTCATTCTCACTATTCTGCCAAAAAAGTTCAGCAAGTAATTTGATACTATGAAGTTTCTCTTCTCGTTCGAAAAAGGCAGCGTTAAGTTATATTTGAACATTCTCATCGTTTAGTTTATATTCATGCCTCGACTGGGAAAATTCGATTTCTATGTCCGTTTTACAATTACCAATTTACGTAGTTCGTATAATGTGTGAAGATCTATTAGAATTTCGATTATATGATTTTTTTAAATTCAATCTTTTGCAATTTTCTTTCGAATTTTACTAAAAAACCAGTTTTTATTATACAGTATTGTTCCATATCAGTCAATTTGTAAAAATAAATCGTTTATTTCTATTCATTTTATCAATTAATATTTTTCATACGTCAAAAAAATTGTCATTCCTAATACAAAGCCTCGTTAGGCATATATTACATACCTAAACGCTCCGCCGTCGAAAAAAAAATGTATTTTCTGTATTGCTCGATGCGGTAATTATTAACAATAAATTAAAAAGGGGTATATACCACGCATCATCATAAAGAAAATATGAAAAGTATATATGGAGAGGTAGTAAACTTACGTCTTCTAGGCTCATACACAGCGCTTTTTTAAAAAAGTCTATAATGAAAACATTAAAAAATGTATCAAAGTATTAAAACGGTATAAAAACGCGCTCTCATCGACATCGATGGCAAATTAGGCTTGCAAAAAACCACCACGCGCACGGTGATGAACGAGTGAAAAGCCATTTCTTTTTTCGCCATGTACGTGTATTTCTGCGTAGGTGCACTCTATATAGCCGCGCAACTATATCATTCTCGCGTGAGTCACTGGCTTACGTACTTTGGTGTGAATATCTTTTGTTCGAACGTCCTCTATTTATATCTATATACATGCATACGGGATATTCGACGATTTCAATGCAGAAAGAAAACCAAAGTGTCACGTTTACAAATAAAAAAACATAAATATAAAAGACGAACCTTTCTATCTTTTCTCTACATTTTTCTCGAGTCTGAATGCAACCTAACAAAAGAAGGACAACAAAATCAACACGGTTCAATAAAAGTTTCCCTATAGACTGTATATCGCATGACGCGCGTACGTAGAAAGAAAAGAAGAGAGTGAGAGAGAGAGAGAGAGAGAGAGAGAGAGAGAGAGAGAGAGAGAGAGAGAGAGAAATAAACGACAAATCTCGAGCGGCATTAAATATTGATCGTGTCTTCTTTTTTATGAGTATAGGTGAATAGATGCGACGAGCTACTGTATACAACAGTAATGTTTGACGAAGGATTTATTACGAGTTGCGGTAAACGTCGGCAGAAGTGCATGGTTTCACGTCGCTCTCGAACAATGGACTGCTTGCCTCGCTCGTCGTCGCTAACATTTTCGTCGTTGTCTTTCTCGCCTTGGTGGCCACTGCGGCATTTAATGTGCTTGATGTCGTTGGTGTTTGCTGAAAACAATTAGTTTGGTCAGCTTTGCGCATATCACGAAAGCTACAAGTGTGATTTGCTTTAGTTACATTAATACAATAAGGGACAAGTTATTAACAGAAGCCTTACGTGTCACCTCTGCACGGATATGTCGACTGAATCAACAAGTTCAACTAACAATATGTTCAATCAGTACTGGAATTGATCTTGATCATGCAAATATGTATTCAATATTGAGACAAAAATATCAGACTAGAAGATCGATAATTTGATCTTGAGTTGTTGCTACTACTACAGTATGAAAATAATTGACTTATTCCTTGATTAAGATAAATTTAATTTATATATCACACTACAAATTGAACGAGATTTATAATCCGAAAGCCTCGATTTGCGGTCCCACCTCAAATCTATTACAGCAAACCATAGTCCGTAGATCAGAAATTTAGTTGGTGAAATAAAATCGACATTTTCAATTCTATATTCTCCTGCATTCCAAATAATCCTTTCGCTGAACGCTTACCTCGCTGTAGAAAAGTTCAGCTCCCTCAGCGACTGCCGGCAGTAGCTCGTCGGTTGAATGTGGAGTCCTTGGACTAGGGGTTGGTTGTAGTTGGAGCGGCTCTTTTTGTTGTTGTTGCTGCTGCTGCTGCTGCTGCTGCTGCTGCTGTTTCAGTTTGAACTCAACAAGAGCTTGACGCTGCTCTTTCTCGTTGCGTTCGCGTTCGAGACGTCGAGCGCCGGCGCCGTAACTCTTGGCCGACGAAGTTGTGCTGTGAATTGACGCTAAACTTGGACGACGGGAGCCTGTTGGATTTTCATTCTATTAATATTTTCGAATTGCATTTCATAGACTCGACGTCGGGCGTGATTTCTACAGGATCTTTACTACGCCAATAAAAGTAATAAATTCTACGTGTAATTTTTAGCTTTCGGGAAATAAAAATGTAAAACTAAACGAAACAATCTATAAGAAGTGAAAATTAAAAGAGTAAGACCCAATATCCGTAGACCTGCTAGAATAAGCCAACTAAGAACTGCTAAATAGGACACTACGTTCATGCACATTTACTTGGAATGTATCGTGTATACGTGGATATATGCAACGACTTGTCTACGGTTCAAACAGTTAGGTGATCAAAAGAATTTGAAGGCATTAAAATTGAATGGTGTGGTTGTATCTTACCACAAAACTTGGTGATATCACATTATGTGTTTTTTAGTGTAGTTAGATTGGATTGACCGCTGTGCCATCTTGCTGCCTCGCAACAGCAAGCATCCCTTTTGATATTTTATCGATATAAGAAAATAAATGACTGCACATATTTTTTGTTTTTTAATTCGTGAGGCCTAGTTACGCAAAATCTAGAAACTGGCACGTTGCATCCCTTCGAGTTCGCAGAATTCATATGATATATCGACTATACATGCATAATGGCGATACTCGATAACCGATTATGACATTATTCAATGGACGCTCTTGTATATATATTGTGTGTCGCAATACGGAGGCTATGGGAACATAAACATATTGATCGGCAATTGCCCGATGGGTTCAACATTCAAAGCAGAATGCCCAAGAATTCAATCAAAGTATAGATTCAATGATGAATCGTCATCTTATAAAAATGGAAAACAGTCATACACAATCAAAGCTACGAAAAATGCACAGAGCTTTCGAATGCTCTTTGAGACATCGAAAAGAAAGACATTGCAACAGAAAAGAATCGCGCGTTCGACTCCATAGGAGTCAGAAAGGAAAGAGCAACGCGGAGAGAACGTCTCGGTGAAATGTATATGTAGCAACATACATGTAAAAGACACATAGGCAGAAAAGAAATATATCAAGAGAAAACTGATCGACGTGATTGAATACCGAGGCCATCGGACGAGCCCTCGGCGACATCGCTGAGTGCGCGTCGGTGCTTGCCGTTGCTGCCGCCTCCCGCGCTTACAACAACACTGGAGGCATCCTGCCCACGGCATGAGATCAGCAAGATGGCTGCGGCTCGAGCCGCACCTGCACGTGACGACGACACCTGCACGCTTCGTTCGCCACCGCTTCCTCCTGCGCTCGAGCTTGCCTTCCGGTTGATTTGCACGCAATTTATCGTTGCTCCGCTGCCGCGTTGAGATGATCGAGATGACGGCCTGCAGCCGTGCAGTGTCAATGGGATACCTGCGAGCGTCGAAGAAAATCAAGACAATCAATAATCGTTAGGTTTTTTTGTGTCTTTGCAGATAGAACTTTTGTACGAGCTAATGAGAAATCAATCGTGCGTCTGGTTGTGGAGATATGTTTTGCTGGAAGCACGAAATCAACAAAAAATTTTAGTTTTTACTAACGGTTCGTGCATTTACACGCTATCTATGAAATTTGAAATACAATAGCTTTTCTTTCTAGATTTTGATCGAGAAATAAAGCTGAAAATCTTTTTGAAATAACGTTTAAACGTATAATAATTGGATCATCATGCTCGACTCAGCACTCAAATACAATTTTGAGTAATCCCATTATCTTCGCTTAACAATCAACGTGCGCATCCTTCATACAACTAAATCGTTAGAGAAACCCCTTGTGTCAAGCGCGCATCCTCAACAACTTGCACGGCGTGAGGTTCTTTGACACACAAAGTGTCTATATACAATACAATTAGCCTCTTATCTTAAAAGTCCGGATAAGCGTCGACTGGCAGGAGCAACTATCCGTATGTTCTTTTGTTCTATATTGACATTTGATAAAACATCAGTGCTCCGCATATATACGTATTTCATTATTGATAATGAAAAAATATAGATTAAGTGTATCTACGGCTTCCTCATCAGGCATAGCAAGATATTTTTCTGTCGCTAAGTATACAATTTTTGTTCTCGTAAGCTTGGCAAAATTTATTAAGTGGCTCGTTTTACAAAAAAGAAGGTGAGTTTTTTTCTTTTAGGGAAATAGTAAAAAGTAATTTTGAAAAACGTCCCGCATAAGAGAATATCGATAAAAAGCTTACACAGGTTAAAATAATGACAAAGAATATAGAAGTACAGAAGTATATATTGAGAAATGAGTGTATATGGAATGAGATAACTTAAAATTGTATCTGAAAAATGAATAAACCAATGGCGACGCATTTACCTGTGTCGCTGGAGAAAAGCATGGGCGCGGCATGTCCGGCATTAGCGTAGTGTCGAGGTCTCGTGTAGCGGCCCCGACTAAATAGTTTCAGCACAAAACAAATCAATCCTGTCAGCACTGCTATGCCCGTGGCTACGCCGAGCAGCGTTGGTAGATCCGTGGCTATCAGCACCAAATCTGTCAAAGCATTCATTTCCCTTTCGTCAACGTTATTTCTCTTATTTTCACTACTCGATGGAACCTTATTCCAGTGCTTTTTCAGTCATAATACTGAAATAGAGAAATTGAACGGCGGCGTGTAATAACAATTGCATAGGTGTAATAACAATTGCATAGGTTTATTTTGAATACGCTCGACTACGTTCGCGCAAGAACAAGTCGACTTCGCAAAATCTTTCTGCACAGCGGTCACGAAATAAATATTACCGCTTTATTGTATTCTTTTCTTTTGGAAGAGGTTTATTAGAATAAGTCATTGCACGTTCTGAAATTTTTGGGTGCTTTTTTAATTGAATTATACGAAGAAAATATAAATGTTACGCGTACTTTTGTAATACGAATAACAGCTTTAGTTTTAGTATGAAATAAGGGGATAATTAGCAGTAGTCTTATTGGTGAAATCATACAAATATGCGTGGATGGTATATAAGTTGACCTTTATGTAGATTTGCGACACCATTGTGAGGCGTAAGTTCATCGGATGACGATTCAAACAGATGGCTTCGAAACTCAAAACATTAAAGTTGCTGGAAAGAATGGTTGAGTAAATCCTCAGTGCCAATTGCAAACAAGATAAACAAAATCATGCGAGAAAGTGTCGTTCTGATTGTTAAAACAGTCAAGATTTGTCATAATTCTCAAAAGCAACTGACGCTTCCGTAACATAAAAAGTATTTCAAGTCACATGTTTTAACTGTTAAGCTGAATTTCATTTTGGATAAACCTCTGCGGAGAATGAAGCGGCGTTCTCGACAGAACTTCTTGAATACCTTTAATATTGGACTAAGCAATCCAATAGATCGACCGAATAAGCTCGTCTGCAGCGATAGCATAAGGGACGGACATAATAAGAGGGTCGCGAGAGAGATTGCGAGAGAAAGAGAGAGCACCGAGTGCACTTGAACGCTGCCACGATATTGTTACTTCGGAGAGATCGGTCATTTTTAATTAAAACCGTTGGCAATGACAATATGCTCTCTCTATCTCTCTCTGACGTTAGTGGATATGTGTATAATGAAGAAATTTGAGTGAACTGCGATACTGCGCGTAACGTATATTTCTCCCGCTATTCAATAATCAATTTACCGTGTTTGCGTTCGCTTAGTATTTCTGAGTATCACTCGCGACTGGTTAATTTTGTAGGCGTGTCTCTTTCTGTGATCGGATTTAGCTCGAATAAATCGAAGTGAATTTCTCATTGATCGGTGCTGTAAGCCAATCACGAGTTTTTGAATATTTCAGTGCTTGTACTGTCAAACTTTCTATCATTCAGCCGTAATTGGTATAGTGGAAGTAACGGAAATAGAACAGTATAAAAGTACATTCAGTGGATCAACAAAGCTTCTGAAGTGTTGAACACCACGCAATCAACGTATAAAAAAAGACAACTACAACAGCTTTAAGTAGAACGATCAGGGTAAGGTCAGCCGTATAGCCGGCCTACTTAGAGACAGATATTCTGTGTCCCTCCGTAAAGTATAAGAACAAATAGAGAAGAGCGAAGCGCCGTAAATGTCACCTGCAGCGCAGAATAGTTTTTTATTCTGTCTGGATAGCGGCACACGATGGTAGCCAGTCTCGCATTCGCACATAGCATTGTGCTGAACCTGCATGCACGTCGAGTGTTGATCGGTGTAGATGCAGCTCGCTCTGTACAGGCATTGCTCGCCGAGTTTCTTGGCTGTGTGGCAAGGGTAGAAATGAATGTTCGCGATGGATGCGCATCGTCATAACGTTGGTGCGTTTACTTACGTTTGGCACAGCCTTTGGTGGGACCCAGCTGCACGGGGTAAAGCTTCTCGCACTCGCAAAACTTTGTCTGCGGGTCGCAGAACACGTGCTGCAGTGACGGGTTGCAGTTCGTATCGCACGGCGAGCCCAAGTACTTCCACGGCTCTGGAATCAGAGCATTATTTAGTGCGCATTTACTGCTTCATTTACATTTCCGCTCGCGTCATTTACACGCTTCACTTTCCAGTGGTTTGCTTTTTTTTCAGAACTGTGCTTTACAGTAGTCGAGCATAGGTACGTTTGTTTTAATTTGCAAGCCTGCGAATTTCAATCCAGTACAAAGCAAAAGTGTTGCACGATGAAATATAACCATCAACTTCAATTTTTCGTCGCAAGCGTTGACATACATTTCTGGCCTGATAAATTTTCTCCAAGAAAAATGTCGACAAAGCATGTAAGCGTAAAAAAAAAAATTATGCAAACTACTGAAATTTCATACGCGTTTAATGCGTTCAAGAGTGAAATAAAATTTACGAGACTTAAATGCGCCGATCTGGAAGCCATTAAAAATTTGCGCTTTCTTGCTCTCGTAACGACCTCGCTGAAAGGTGTATTTGACACTTCAAAAAGACGTGTAAACTACAATTTGAATTTCAGATCATCTGAAATTACACACTTGATCGATTTTCGCCAATCTATGAAAAAAAAATACTCGGCTTTTCATCTCTAGCCGATAAGAAAACTGCAGAAAACCACTTGACTCGCGCGAGTGAAATATTGCCACGAAAATTAATAAACGCGCGCATATCCGCAAGTCCCTATTAACACACTTTCGGTATCGATAGCCCTTGCGGGCGGGCGATATATTTCATTAAAAGCACGACGATATAGTTTGGAAACTTTGGCCACGCGTGTACATGGCGGACAATCATTCGCTCGCTGATTCGAGTTGGCATGCTTCCAAGCCGTTTAAAGCTCACGGCCTCCGACAAAAGACAATCTTCCTGCGCTCTTAAATTCGGCAAAAGCTCGGCGCCGCTCGCAACGTACGTAACTAGAGAGAAACTAGATCACAGCGTGGATAAATGCATCGCATATACGTACTTGATTCATTAGCAGCTGATTATACCTCATAGGAAAGAAAAGTGCAGCTCATTCGGTGCATCGGGCTTATCATTGGTTCACTGGTTCATTCAACCCCGAGCTCGCGGGACTTGCAATCAATAAACGACCACCGCGTGCTGCTCTCGAATCTCGCGCGGAGGATATGTGGGTCTGCGGAATGAAGTCGTTCTGCAGACGAGCGTGTCGATGAATTGTAACTTTTTAGCGGCGCTCGAAGAATGTTCGAGTAGCTGCATCGGATGTGTGCGTGTGTGCGTGCCTGGCTAGAGCTCGTGCCCTGTGCATAGAGAGTACGAGCGCTCGAGCTATCCTTATCGATTGGCCCTTTTAGCTTCCGCCGCGGGGCCGCTTCATTGCCCGTCGCTTCTGCGCGCCAATCTACACGCTCGTCGACGTAAACAAAGTACCGCGCGCGTTCTCGCAGATCAGCAAGATCCCGGCGAGATACAAAGCGGCTCCACTATCGATTGCTCGTAGCGTCGTCTCAGAGGTCCGCACAAGCAAGAGCCGCTACACGTCTCTCTCTCTCTCTCACGCGCGCGCGCGTGACATCGTAATCCCATTATCCGCACGTAATCGATCCATCCGAATATTCGTCGGTCTCTCGCGAGCAGATGCCAGCGTTTTTGAAAAGAAGAAGCAGCGGCACACTGTTTCGTCACGCGACATTACCTGCGGTGACGTTGATCTCGACGTATTCCTCATCGAGTTCCTCGTCATCGTAGGCGTCGAGCTCGGTGTCATGGTTAGAGGAAGCTGCTGCTACTGCTACTGCTGCTGACGAGTCGCCTTGGCCGGATGAGGCAGCAACGGCCAGCAATAATAGTTGCCCGATGATCAGTGCGATGACGAAGCTCGTGTGCAAACAGCGATGACGAGGGTGACAATGAGAACGGTAAATTGGGCTCATCGCCCCCTTGGCGCATCGACATTTTCCGCGGCGAGCGCTCGCCGACGTGTCTGCGCGCGCGCAACGCCAAAACTGCCACTTCGCGCACTACACCAGCACACTTCGCTCCGCTTACGCGTCGACACTTTTGCAGCTCGCGATTCGTGCTGCCTGACCACCGGCGCGGTACTGAAGCGCGGTACTGGCGCTACAGAACTACCCTCCTTGCTCGCGCCGCACACAGCGCCTTCGCGCGGCCGACGACTACTGCCCCTTCTCTGCCGCACACCTTTAATACCACGAGGGAGGCTGCTAGTTGAAGTCGCTGCGAAAGGCTGCCAAAGAACGCCCGAGTTTCGCCGAGGAGCAGTGTGAGTTTCTGCGAGGTACGCGCGTGTGCTTTCTTTTTCATAAGCGCTCAATCCCGGCGCTACTGTGGCAAGGTTTGCTTCGCGCAAGCGGGTTAAACAGGAAAATTAATAACGCAAGCTTTGTTCACGCAGAAGTGTTATTTAATACATATTACAAACTGATACCATCGGTCTCATTTTCGATCAAACACGCGTCTTCCAGCTTTATTCGTTGCGCTGATTTCGACATCTCTGAAATCACAAGATTAATTAGTTTTACGATCAGACCAGTCCTGCGAAAAATTAGCTAGCTAGCAAAGCAAGCAACAATTATCATACCGAGGGTTCTGATTCTCCTTCTTTTTCTGATGAACAAGGCCGTGCAGATAGCCGCCACAATGCTCAAGATTGATATGACCGTTGACGCCGCTATTGTGGACGCGCTCACTTGGCTCTGGTAGGTATCGGATACAACCACGTGTGAATTGCAGGGAGAATCTAGAGAACGTGGAAGCTTATCAAACTGTTTCAAATAACAATGCGAAAGTCAGCGACTCACTTATATCTATGAAGCAGGTCGCATTTGAATGGGTTTCACCGAATTCTTCCAAACATATCGTAGTGTTATCTCTTATCATTCTACACTCATCCGAACATATAGGTCCAGTCCAAGGGTGTTCAAAGGCATTTGCATTTTCGAGTGCGTCGTAGCCGTGAGATCTGCAATTGTTGATTGCACGAGTATCATGTAACTCTGATTTTAACAGGTAAAGTAATATTCGTATCCACTGCTTAGCATCAGCACAATGTGATTATCGCAGCTGCCATAGAAGATAACGCAAACTCGTGATAACCGATGAATAATGAGAAGAGAAGAAAATATTTATCATCGCATATCTAATGATTCACTTTACGCCCGATGAATCATGCGTGATACGAGCACATAACAAAAAGACCGTGTCCACGATGAAAAAGCACCCCATGCAAGTGCTCGAACTTACTCGTTAAACAACGCATAAAATGGATCGTTGTCCGTCACATGGATGGCGCAAACGGTGGGCTCGTCACAAAACCTTCCAGTCCAGCCATGCGAACACTCGCAGAGTCGCCTGTCGATCAAGCAATTTCCATGGAGGCAGACACCGTCACAGGCATGTATGCATAGTACAGGATTGCCTGAGGTGTCGTTCTCAGCGAGATAATACTCGTCGCACTCGCACTTTTGCGGTTCTACACACTGACCATGAGCACAGCCACCGTCGCAGTGAGCTTTACAAATGGTGCTGTTAGCCATTGGCATCAGATCATAACCTTCCTGTCGATTGAAAATATTTAGCGCGTTTTGGCAGCAGATGACGAAAATTCTCTTTGATAACTTACCACGCAACTTTCGCAAGCCGAGCTTTCGTCGTTGCAGTAGCCATTCTCACATTCGCAGATGACGATACATTTGGCAGAGCTTGAATTATTTTTCATTTCATAGCCGTCTTCGCAGGTGCACTCGTTCGGTGCAGTGCAGTGGCCATTAATGCATGCTTCCTGACAAATTGGCTCGCAAGTAGAGTTATTCTCTTGGGACAGCTTGTAGCTGTCGAAGCACGTACAAGTTTCCGGTGCCGTACAATACTGTAAATTTTTCAGAGCGTGAGTTTGCATTTCAGATGAGTTATCACGACTGTTTGTGGCTACTAACTCCCATGTCGCAAGTTTCCGTGCAAAGTGGCTTGCAAGAAGTGGTGGCGCGATCCCACAAGTACCCCTCGTCGCATGTACATTCTTCGGGAGCAGTACATTTGCCGTGGAGGCAGGCATTGCTGCAATAAGGTTTACAAATGGGGCTGGTGTCTGGTCCATCTGGAACGTAACCATCGTAACAGGAACATACCTCCGGCGCAATGCACTCCTACAAAAAGGCACACAATTTTCCAAATAGTTATCGACACGCGCTCGGCGAGAAAATCGCAGGGTCTACCTCGATGCACCTCAAAGAAACTCACCGCGTTCACACACTCCTGTTCGCAAACAGGATCGCAGATGTTTGAGTGATTAGCCCGCAAAGTGTGGCCCGGATAACATAAACAAGTATTCGGCGCCACGCATTCGCCGTATTTGCAGCCATATCTGCACGTAGGCTCGCAAGTGAAGGCATCTTGGTCATAGTCAGCGTAGCCGTCATGGCACTCGCAACGATTTGGCTCGACACATTCAGAGTTTATGCATTTTTGATCACAGACGGCTTTGCACTCGGTTACGTCACTATGGTCTACACGCTCGATCTGATCTCGCGTGTAACCATTGATGCAACGACAAACATGTGGCTCGACGCACCATTCGAGCGGCGAACAATTGTGGCAGATTGGCACGCAGGTAAAGCCATCGGGAAGCATTTGGTAACCTTCTTTGCAGGCGCACAGATTTGGCGAGATGCAGAAGCCATTTATACATTCGTTCAAGCAGTTTGCTTCACACTTGTTATTCGCATAGTCCATGCGATAGCCTTCGTTGCAACGGCAAACTTCGGGTGCGGCACAAATGCCGTTTACACTGCAATTCTGACTGCATACGGGGATGCACTGATCCACTCCGTAACTCTGGAAACCATTGCAGCAGACTGCCCGAGTGTGCTGACTTACGTGATTCTATGAAATAGCATATTTATTAATTTAATTAGTTACTAGTAAATTCAGTGATGTGTTATTTGAATCATTACCTGTTCTAGTCTGTAGTTCAGACGCGTCTTTCTTTTCTTAAATCCCAACCAATTTCTCGTGTAGTATATTTCTTCGTAAGGCACGTATTTTGGCGTTTGTGTACTATCATAAAAAAAGTTTAAATAATAAAATTATAAATACAGTATTTGAGAGAAACAATAAATTTACTTACGTATAAAGTTCTAAACAATTTTTCGAAGTGGCAAATTCATAGGTAAGGTATTTGTGGGCCTCCAACTCACACACAAGCGTACAAAGAATTAAAATAATAAGTGCGTTATGCTTCATGTTGTCAAGATGATGGTTGCGATGTGACTGACAATAGTCATGGAACAGTTATGTGAGTGCGAGACTCACTTAATATATCACATCACTGCTATAGTAAATGATGAGCCTTATCACCGCTATAGCGTTTTGCGTTTGCTTATCAGCAGGATGCTTTCTCGTATCGCTAGCTACAGACTTTGCTGTATAATATATTCATCACGAATGAAAATTCTATAATATTTATACAGGTGCTGATATTTATTTTTATATTTCAATATTTTAGAATATATTCTAAAGATTAAATTTGATAAATTTAATCTTTAATATGAACTATTAGTGAGCGATTAAAAAGTACTCACTATTTTGAACGTTTTCAAGTGAAACGTATGTCTTTTTAGTCTTGAGAAAAAATGTGTTTAAATGCTAGAATCGTTTTACTTTCTTTTGAAATCAACAAACCTGTGATTAAAGTTATTGGAACAACGTGTCTATTATGAAATTATGATTACCCAATGAAATACCATTCTTATAAAGTTATTATTTCATAAAATCGATATCAAACAAAAGATTTGCACTATATTTGATATTAACTTCTGTTGCTATATCAACGAATATTTCAAATCTCATAATATGTATGTTATTGGTTCGCATACAAATTTGTTATTAGTTACAGTTTGAAGCCTTTCTGACAGATACGTGTTTGCAGGTCTGTGCAAACCTAAAAATTAGTTAATTTTGCGAACCGGTCATCGTAATTAAATATATTACTATTACTTTAATCTCTTTCTCTTTTTCACTAATATTATGATAAAAAAAATTTGAACGATAAATATTTATGCAAAGCTTTTAATAGACACTCACAGCCCAATTTGGTGTAATTTTTGAAAATTGCACAATTAAAAATGTCGTACGTGAGTACATTGTAAGTAAATTTATCAATCCGGCTGTACTATTCATAACACTTACAGTAATTCGATGCTGCACACTCGGAGTTGACACAAGGTTCCTCGGAAACGGGCTTACGTTCAGACATACGAGTATCTAAATGCTCAAATCGGTTCATTACTTCTCTCGTGTAACTTTGTTTGCACCTACAAATATATGGTTGAATGCAAGGTTCTACGGATGCACAATTATTACAAAAGGCTGGTAATCAAGTTCATGCCATGACCATCCAACTTCTGCTTGTGAATATCAATAATCCTCTTAATAAGGACATACATTAGATGCTATGCAAGACCTAAATTTGCATTTTAGATCACAAATAGAAATCTTGGTTCATAAAATAACCGTCTTCGCAACTGTAAATTTCAGGCGAAGAATAAATATCACAATCACCACAGTTTGTATTACACATGGTATACAACTTTGCTCATTATAATTTTGATATCTACTACAACGAATTAATTGTGTTCTATTAACTTTCATTACCAAAAAATAAAAATATGCATCTTTGTCATTTTTATTTACTGTGTATTCTGATGTCTATTTTAGATTACTTTTTATTAATTAATTTTACTATTATTCATGACTTATTAGAATAATTGAAATCTCTAAGGAGTATCTGCTTTTACACTTTGTAGCTATATAAGAATACTTTATGCATATAAAAGTCTAATCACTTATATGCAGTAATCTATACTTATGTAATATATCTATACTTATATAAAAATGTTCCTTTATTTAAAAGTTTATTTACGTTTTTATAATACTTCATTTTTTTTCTAATCATACATTTTGAAACCACTAATTCAATCGTGCCTGCTTCATAAAGTAATACAAAAAAATTATAATTTCTAAATTGCTCATTTAAACTTTACAAATACGGTGTATTTTCAATAAATACATCTTTATGCTTCGTTTTAAAGAATCAATGACTCTTTATGTTTGTAACTTCCAACTCTATCATATCTCAACTCTAGTGATAAGAATCATTGTAAAAATATTGGTTATTTCAATTTTTCAATTATTTTAATTGTTATTTAAGTGTCTGATTGGTATTCTTACGTAAATTAAAATTATGAATATGTTTTATAAAAATAAAATTTCACAACAATCTTAAAGATAGTAGTTTAGTAATTAATGACTCAATGACACTTGTTTTCTATAAATTTTTCTCAACATATTTCTAATAAAAACTCCTTCAATAAATATAATATTGCCAAACAAATATTGATTATTAGATTTCTTTTATGTACACAAAAATTTTCATTGGATAGTACGATAGCACGATGCTTACTTACTTAATATTTTATATATTTTTAGTTGATTTGAAATATTATTCAATGAATTAAGTAGAGGAGGCACTTATATGTTCACAAACTTAAAATAACATTATGTCCAACGTTTTAAAATAAAATATGTATATTTATAAAATGTACCCTTTCGTATCAATGTATCTAATATCTAAGAATTAAAAAATTACAGAGTATCATTATAATTGATTAAAGTTCTGATCGAAATAATTATTTAAAGAAATTGACATTCATATAGAACTCTTAATTTCATATAATCTCACAAATATGGTCATGTAAGACTTTATGATATCCTTCATTACAAGTACAGTAATTTGGAGATGTGCATTGCCCATTAATGCATCCGATTGGACACACGGGTTTGCAATTATTGTTATAGTCCATACTGTAACCTTCGTTACATATACAGGTGTCTGGTTTCGAGCACATTCCGTGAGGACCACAATTTCTACTGCAAACTGGAAGGCAGTGATGTTCATCATAATTCTGATAGCCTTCACAACATATCGAGGTTGTTTCATTCGTTATTATATACTAAAAGTCAATTATTAAGAAATATAGTGTGGTGATATATATACTTTTTTTATAACAATTTTTTTTCAAACTAACCTCTGTTTTGTACACTGTACGAATTTTTATTACTTCTTTCATGTTATAATCATAATCCTCATCACTATATTCTTCAACATTTTCAGTATATATTTCTTCACGAGGAACCGTAATTTCTTTTTTCACACTAGTTTAAAATCGAATAAGATCGTTGAGTTTGATTAATTAAGTTCAATTTAGGTTTTTCACTATTACAATATCAAACGTCTATATGTAAAATTAATTAATAATGTACTCACGTTTTCATTTCACTGCAGTTTTTTCGAATTACAAAATTTGAAGCAATATAAATACGTTCGCAAGTAAATTGATCTATTTTAGTATAGGTTTCATGGCATTTACAAATATTAGGCATGATACATTTTCCGTTGATGCAGATTCGGTCACAAATTGGGTTACATGGCTCATATAAATCAGATCCAAGTTGTCTATCGAGTGACTCCCGTCCATAGCCTAGAATGCAACGGCAAATCTCCGGTTCCGCACAGTATTCGAAATTTGTGCAACTGTCGCAAATAGGTTCACAAGTATTATTATTTTCCGTCATACGATAGCCTTCATAACAAGAACATATTTCGGGTGACTTGCAAAAGCCATTTATGCACTCCGAAGAACAAAATGGTTCACATCTTCGTGAATTTGGATCGAATCTATAACCCACATTGCAAAAACAACTATCGGGGGAAGAACAAATTCCTTCGGAGCCACAACTTTTAGTACATACTGGAATACACCTTTTATCATCATAATTTTGATATCCATCGCAACAAATTGCTAGTGTTTGATTTAATTCAATGCTCTATCAAATAGAAAGATTCATTTTATTTAAAAAACAAGTAAATTTATTTATGTCATATAATTTATATTATACAATTATTATAAATGTCTTATATACCTCATATCTATACTTTACTCGAATTTTTGATTTACCAACAATATATCCATAATTTAAATCACCAATATCTTCATATGGTACGTACTTTTGTGTCCGAATGCTAATAAAATTATTTTATTTAAATTGCACGATGACCTACATTTAAAAATTAAAAAAATACTTACGTTTTAGTTTCGGTACAATTTTTCGGCACCACAAAATTAGAAGCATATTTTTCTGCATTAACATTAAATATTATTGACACGGCGATTATAAATACTGATTTGAAAATCATGGTTTGAGTAGTATCCGAAAAATGACTCACACGTAAACTGACTCTTCTTTGTCCGACGAACGAAGAAGAAATGGCCTCGCATTTCATGTCGCATCAACAGCGGCGGTCCTTATCGAAAGAATATTTCATTGAATGTGGTAAGTGATTATTTTTAGTGTTATATATAATGAATTCATGGTATTCAGATCACTGATAGTTACATTTATACCGTTATTATCGCTTAAGTTTTCTTCAATTCTTGCAAAATTGTGAAACGGCCTAAAATCATACATGTTATTCTTATTAAGTAAATATTTTTGTCATCTCTTAACAATCAGCGAGGGATATTATTTTTTATTTTTATTTTGGTATTAATTTTCCAAAAATGAGTATTATTAAGATCAGCAATAAATAAATTATACATAAATATTCTTTACTTAAAAAATTCTTGATACAATAAAAAGATTCACACTCTATGCACACGCTTATTCTCAGATATTTTTTTCTAGTATTACAGTTACAACATAAGTTTAGAGCTTGCATTTTGATACATGTGTTACTAAAATTAATCAAGTTCTTCAAATAGGTACACATACATTTCCGTTAGGATTTTTAGGATCAGGAATATAACCAATTTCACACATGCACAAATTAAGTCCTATACAATGTGAATTGATGCAGGGCCCATTGCAGATTGGTTGAAATTCATCAATATTAGGAGCTTGCGGACTATCTACGATAATTATTTCAGCAATATTACTTTCTGGTTGAACATAAGTATCAGAAACTAAATATGTCTGAGGGATTTGGATTGGTTGCTGCTCATTAATGGGTAGGCCATTTTGCGAATGTTTATTCAAATGATTAATTCCATATGAGAAACCAACCCCTAATTGTGGATTGCTCTGCATTGCTGATGATTGACTGTAGATATCAGTAGATGGTCTCTGCCCAGTTTTAATACTTAATGTTGCATGAGGATCGGTAAGGGTATATAAATTTCCTTCTTGCGGGGGTCGTGGATTGTAAGGCAAGTTTGATGAGTAAGAATTATATGAACTATATGATGGTCTTTCGTAGGGATTTTTAACTCCTTGCGTTCCTTGAGGATTTGTGGATGCGTACGGATTATATGGCGTTTGCGAACTGTAAGGTAATTGTGGTTCATATGATGGTCTTTTCTGATCAGTTTTAACTTCTTGATTATGAGCATTCGTAGGAAAATATGGACTGTATGGTCTGTTTACTGCCCCTGAAAATCTATTTTGGTCGTAAGGATTCTGATTTTGATTTGGATAATTATTTGGCGTTCGCTGTTCCTGAAGATTCGTTTTATCGTAAGGATTACGATTTAAATTCCATGAACTTTGGGTATTATAGTCATAAGGTCCATATGGTTTTTCGGTCGGTCGTAATTTATCTGGACGGATATCTAGTGATCCTTGATTAGGAATTCCAGTAGGGTACGGCTCTAATGGAGCGAATGGATGGGCTGTTGTATACCTTGGATCATTTACAGGAGTTCTGTAGGTTATGCTACCACCTATTGCTGGCTGTGTGGAAGGTTGTCGAGGTCGAGCTTGGTTTCCTCCAAAGTTTCCGTAAAAATCTTCTTGAGGATTTGGTGTTGTAACTTGGCCTTGTAATCTTATAACTTCTACTGGACTTTTAGTTTGGTCGTAGTTATATGGATTGTCCGTTTGATAAACACCGCTGTGACCGTTCGGATTGTAAGGTGTATCATAATTCGGCCGTTGTGTTTGATGAGTTCTATCAATATTGCTATAAGGTCGGTTTGGCTGCAAGTTGTAAGCATTGTTCGTACCGTATATTTGTTCAGGCTCCCGAGGGTATGATTGTCCTTCATTATAATTGCCAGGCAATTTAATACAACTTTTCTTTTGATTGTCTAGAAAATAGCCTACGTTACACCCACATTGATTCGGTGCAATGCACAATCCATTTTCAGGACAAGACTCCTCACAGTGTACCTCGCAAGTTCCATTATCATTTTGTTGATAGCCAGCCTTGCAGGTACACACGTTCGGCATGACACATTCTCCGTTTACGCACTCGGATGGACATTCCGGGACGCATGATTCGGAATCATATGACTGATTCACATATCTGCAATGGAAAACACGTAATAAGTACTTTGTTAAATGATGCAAACATTCACGTGATGATGTGATATAGCTAAGTTGTGTACAAGATTGATTATTTTATTGAAAGACCTTCAGTCCGGATATTTACAAACTAATGTCATTGAAAAATTATTAAGTTTGTAAAAAAATATTATACATTGAGTATTTATACTCTTTCAATTTGACAATGTATAAACAGTACTTGTCAATCAGTCATGCAGCTACTGCAAAGCATTAAAGTAATTTCAAATAGATGATAATAACATTGTTGTCGATACTCAAATCACGTTCAATGCGTTCTTTAAATAACAATAGAATCACTTACGCTTGATCACAAGAACAGACGCCCGGAGCCGTACAGAAACCATGTTGACAGTCATTCTCACAAATAGGCTCGCAGTGCTTCGTCTCATTCAGAAAATATCCTCGATGGCATCGACAATCCGTAGGTGCAACGCAATCACCATTTCGACAGTTGTGCTCACAAATAGGCTGGCAAACGCCATTGACCTCTTCAAAGCCAAAAAGACACATGCAAACATTGGGCGAAAAGCAGTATGCATTTCGAGGACATCGCTGCCTACACACTGGTTTACATTCACCGTGATCAGCGCGCCAACCATCTTCACAAGTGCACTCATTAGGACCAGTACAATTTCCACCAAAGCAGCCTTCTTCGCAGTAGAATTCACAATTTTCCGTGTATTCGTCACGTCGGTAGCCGTCACAGCAGTCTACTATCGTTATCCACTACCAATGATACAATTATCCACGCGTGAGATACAGATTATATAATGAATTAAGCACAAACTTTCTCATGGCGCGAATGTTAATCCAGCCGTGAATTACATACCGTTTGGATACCGGATGGTGGCGTTGTCGATTCAGTTTTTATTAATCCTTGTGTAAGATTAGCTATCACAGCCTCGTCATATCTGTAAAATTGTGTTTATCGTAAATGAACGTGGTTTTCTCACCTTGCTACTCGATTATCTAATATGCAGCACACGGTTTTTAAACGCAAGTAAGGAGCGATATTTTGATATTCCACCATGAATTTTCACTATTTATAATAATTACGAGAGAGGATTAGTAATGCCTTGACTTTATTGCGAGTCGTTGGGCACGCATTGATAATTATGTTCTTGTCGTTTACATATCAATTGGTGTAATCTCTCACGCGTAAGTGAGGTGTGCGGTGCGTTAAGAAGGATTTCGCGCGAGGATTAAAAACGAAATATCGTTCTCTTCTCTTCATACTCACGGAACTCTTTTATAACAAGTGCCATTCTCGGGTGCCGGATAGCTATCGAAGTTCAATCTGCTGGTAGTGCCGACAGCTAGAAGCGATAGCAAGGCGACGCAGTAAAAAGTGAAGATTGACTTCTTGTCTAACATCTTGTCTGCTTAGATGTTTTTAAACGACTAACTCTAACGCGGAGAATTCGGTATCTTGTTTATGAAAATACGATAATTTATAGTAAGGTTAAGAAGGTCGTCACTGCGCGAGATCATCATTGTGGATGACGCGTGCTCATGTGTGATACACTGCATCGAGTTATTCACGATGCGCTCATACAACAATAATAGCGAGCTTTGTAGGATGATCACGAGCGTTTTAATCAACATATCATTTGGAGAATCAGCGGACGCGCTGCAACAATCCAAATGATCTTTGGACTTCGTGTATAAAACATTTTTATTTGGTATTACATTAACTTTACAGATATATTTTACAGGATAGCATGACTAAATATAATTATTACACTACACTATCGAGACCATAATTCATAAATGCAACATAATCATATGATACAGTTCGGAAAACAGGTAGATTGCTAAAGTTCCCATGCCAATTTTTTAGAGATAAACGCATACTAGATCATTTATAATTTATCGAAAGATTACGATGGAAGGAAAAAAATAACGGCATGTTTCCATTGACCGTAAGGAACGTACAAATTACCGATATAGCCTCATAAATGTATATACTGCAGTCGCAAGTACGTGGCTGCTGCGGCGTGTGTGTCAGCTAAATATTTACCAGGAATACCGATTACATCAACGGTGGCAGAACGCAGCTTTGGTGCACGCGTACAAGTAGTATGGGCAACGCAGTGTCCTATCTCTATATAACAATAGAAAAGCGCTATGGCAGCATTGCATTACAAGACACGAAACTCTCTTTCGCTCGGTCCGTGTGTCTCTCAGTCTCTCTCGACTTATAATCTACAAATGAGCGATATATACGCGGATACCCTGGGTGATCTAACGTAATACACTTTGTGCGTGACGCAATTTACTCTAACAGATAATAATGGCAGTTCAATAAATAATAGGCTTCCGAAAACTTTCTCACGCTCTCTTTGGCAACCTAGCCGTCGTCGTTGTTCTTATCATATTGAGTAGAGGAATATAAGCGAGTATTTTTTTAGTTTCGTGTCCTTTACGTGTCCTTGGCGAAGTAGAATGGTGCCGATAATGGGATTTCGTCGTAGACGTGCTCCACGTCCGGTTCGCCAGTCGCTAGTGCCGCTGTTCTCTGAGAACACGCCGCTGGCCTATCGTAGTGACTCTCCAACAAATCTGTTAACAATCAAAGAATCATTCGATTCTGCAAACTGATTGTATAATTTACTTGTTAAGCCGTGGTCTGAATTTTTTTCGAGAATCCAGATGTTTACTCAAGCTTCATCTGTCATTGATTGCAATTTCGAACGCGATTACGTAGTTTTTCGATGATCCGAAAGTCAAGTCTAACTGCGTGAAGACCGATTGAAATATGAATCCTTGAATGCGCACTCGAGGACATACATTACTTTTATAAACTTCAAAGTTTTTCGAAACGCCATTATTTTTTTCGTCAATTTATTGTTTACAAAAAACATAAGCGTCCTTGAAAATCGTTTTACTTACCTCGCAAATTACTTGATAACCGAATCCCTATGGTCACTGTTCCATTAGCGTATTCAGCTGGCCTCTCGTCAAAAGTCAGTATATTTGCATCGTATACTGGATTTGCTTCGTAAACTGGATTGATCTTTGTCATAGTACCTAAAAAATAAAAAATAGTAAATTTTTTTATTAAAACAATATTTAAGCTATAAAAATGTACCTCAATGTTTATTGAGAAGCAAGAGCTTCAGAAAAGTTTCCAACGCTATTATTAAATTAATTATCGCGCATTCGTACCGCACTACTATCACTTCAACATGAATAAACAGCAGAAAAAAAGCGAGAGGAAGAGAAATAACTACAGACATAACAATATGCTTATATGTGTACGTACGAGGAAGAGTGCCGATGGTAACATCGAGTGACTTTCCTGCATTAGCGCCCCCAGTAGTTGCTGGATCCTTATCGTTACCAAGTTGGCGCTCAACCTTCTCCTGGCTGTAGATCGCGAGAGCGGCCTTGAAAAGGCGCGAACGCACGTGAAAGATCATGAGAGCTGCTACGGATGTAAGGCCAATCAAGACTATCGCTCCTACTACTATCATTGCCGCTACGTCAATTGAGATCGTTGACATTGATGCGCTCGATTCACCTTTTAATAAAAGAAATCTAGATCACCTTATCGCAAAAATAACAGGCTTTTTGAGTCTTTATTTTCTATTTTCGTGTGGTTTTGTATTTTTATCGATGAGAGTTACGAGAAAATTTTTTGGGTTATTTATTCTTTCTTGTAGTATGTCTTCGATGATAGTGTTGACGCAAGCTAAGTGTTAAAGTTTGCATGTAAGAACTTTGCAGTTGATTAACTTAACATTCAACGATTTTCTATTGCATTTTGTTTATGATTAAAATATTTGCTCTTCAATTTTGAGCAAACTATGTGTAGCAGTCTCAAGTTGTAACTTGTAATTTTTTCAAAGATTCTCAAAGATTATATTGAAAGTAAATTGTTTTAAAAGTTTCACGTGGCACAACCACATATGTCACATAAGTATTGGCTCGATTATAAAAAAAATAAAGTCGTTTTTATAGATTTTTCTACAACGCACGATGATGAAGCGAGAAACGAAGCGTTCAGAAGCTAACAATTGTGAAATTCTCGTGGTGGAACGGTTTATTCAAGCAGAAAAATTTGTGAAGCACAGCGCAATGAACGGAATAAGCATGTCATCTGTCAAGGTTAGCCAGATGATAAAACAGTCTCTCTTGGCGTAGTGTAGAGCCAATGAATTAACGCCCACGCATTAATTAATACGAGCAGACTCGTAATTAATTATCTTAAACGACGTGTTTATTAGGAGGAAATTTCCAACTTATACACGATTCCATTGACCAAATGCTCGAAAACGAAATGAAAAATAAATGTCATGTACAATGCATGATGGAACAATTGAAAAAAACCTTTGTGCGTATTCTTCACGTAGTCATTTTTAGGCGATACACTGACGCGAAAGTTGGTGTGGCGCTCGCCGAACTCGAACTCGCCATTCTTTTTCTTGGTCATCAGCATGTTTTCTGTGTCGTCGACTTCGTCGTCGTCATCTGGCTGTGAAAGTTGATTTCCTTCGATGTGCAAAGTAGCTCGTGGTAAGGGACTTGTTGATCGTACTGTTGGTTGCTGTTCGATTGTTTTGGTGGACAAAGGGCTGCTATTACTACTACTACTACTTAATATAGGACGTTGTTCTTCGAGTACCGCCATAGTCTCTGACTCATCTGAAATAGGGGAATTACAGGCAGACATTAAATTCGATGTTATTAAACTAATTTGCACTGTTTCAAGTGCGGCTTTCACGCGCTTTCCCAGACATTCGCGTGCTCGAGTCTCGTTTCAAAGACTTTGTCCTTTAGTCAAGGATTCTTGCAAATTATTATTTGTTGTTTTTTTAAGTGATTCACGCAACTTTCAAAATACTTTTAATAACGAAATTTTCGTTATTAAAAGTTCCAATTTTCGTAGATGGATTTTCAGTTATGTAACTTCTTGATCGCTCGATACGAAATTGCCCTTTTTATATTCGATCGATTTCGAAATATTGAAGTTGGACCGAAATTTGGTACCTAATAGGACTTTTACATTTAATTTAAAACTATTCAACACAACACATCAAATAGTGATCAATGAAATACAATCAGGATTTATTTTCTTGATAACGAGATCAAAAATTCAATTTCATTATGATGAAACGTACAGCTACAAAGGTTAAATTATTTTTAATGTGCGAAAAGACAAAAATAAATGTGAGTTTGTTCGCAGAAAACGGTAAAAAGAAAAGATCCGGGTTCAAATCCTCGCCAAGGTGATTTACTTTTACTGAACGATCGCACGCTCAACTGCATCTTTATGTATAACGTATGAAATCGAACCTTTAGAAAATACCAGACTACAATCGACATGTTACTTTCTTTTGTAAAAAAAAGATCCGACAACCCTCGTCAGTAAACTTTTTACCGACGAGCAGCTTTTACTTACACTATCGCAGGTAGAAGCAAAGGCAGGTGTCAGGAGATTGGTCAAGAGAATCCTAAATTCTGGGGTTAATGAAATTAGCTGTCCGACTAATTACTGAGCTGAATCACGAGCTCTCGCATGCGCGTAACCGATTAAATCCCTGACTAATCGACTCCGCTGTTCCAAATCCCTTTATATATGCACTCACTCTCGGTGACCCTTGATAAAATGGCCTCCTTGTCGAAGTCGATGATGTCGACATAGTCAGCATCGGCAGCAGTCTTCGACACGAGGTTGCCGGATATCCCGCTAGCCTCGAATGGATCGATCGGTGCCACATTATTAAAACCCTCGCCGACGCCTACGTTGCTCGGATCGACGAGGCTGCATTCTCCGGTCTCGTGGTGGCAACCAGCTGAAGGATTCTCACAGAGGCACAGCGACTTGCAACCTAAGCCCCATTGACCCTCGGGGCATTTGTTCTCGCATCTGCAATATTCACAGTCGACGAGTTACTTTTTTTTCTTTCGCGCTCCAGGTCACTTTGCTTTTTATTAGTATTTGAGTTGAATGCTTTGGAGAGATTGGATACTGATTGTTAGTTTTGTTATTCATTGAAAGGGTCGACGCACGCTTTGTTTACTTGTATATTCTTTTTCATTCGCTAGACAAGTTGAATCGAGCCGCGACAATGGCAAAATAAATATCCTGCATTTCTTTATTTTCTGCTCGAAACTAATATCAACAATGAAATTGGAAACGACAGAAGCGACGCATTTCTCTTTCGAAGAATAATAAGAAAAAAAGGGTTCGACACAGTTAATAAACCATGCTTACCTCGGTCCCGTCCATCCAGCCTGACATTCGCACTTGCCAGCGACAGGATCGCAAGCAAGCTTGCGTAGACAGTTGCATTCGCGTTCGCAGTTCCGGCCCCAAGTACCCTGAGGACACTCTGCACCAACGTATTCGACGGATTATTATAGTTTTACTGATACTGTATAGCCGTAAATCGTCCTCCATGCGTATATGTGTGTAACCGTTCGAAAGTTTATAGCGCTCGCGAAAGTCCCTTCCGCGTTTAATATATAGGTGCACACACGCTTATACTTTATCACGTAATATTCGCGCGAGTCGCTCTCGTTAATGGTGCATGACAAGAAACCGCGTGTATCTCGCTATTTGATGCATAGTTAAAACTCTCTTTTTGTGCCGATGCCGATCTGAATACATTTTCCAACCGATTGTGCCCGGATCGTCACTCGTCGAGTTGTAAAACTGATTCGGCGCGCAACTTTGTTATTCAATTGTCGGGACATTGTCCGATGTCGCTTAATTACAAGCCAAGTTTAATTACGCGAGCAGGCGAATCCGTATAAACTTGCTGTTTCCAATTACACTTTGGGCTCACGAGAGCTTTAAATTAATTAATTACGCACATCCTATTTCATAAAACTTAAGAGGTAGACATTCGAATTGAAACATCTCGAATGAATAGGGTCCAGAGACTCAATTACGCAACAAGACGGTACACAATTTTCCTGGCAAACGCGAAGAAAGATGTTTGAAACGATCGAAGGAGCCCACAAGCAGTGCCAAATGAAAATTCAAATGTTCACTGGTAATTATTAGTTGTAAAAAAAATAATTGTCGCTCACCGGAAGCGCAATCTTGTCCTTGGAATCCGGGATCGCAGGTGCACTCGTTGGGCGCTGAGCAGACTCCACTTCGGCACTTCTTGCAGTGCGGCACGCACTTAGCGTCGGCGCTACCATTACCTACGGGCTCCTGTATCACGTAGCCTTCGCAGCATACCGGCACACTCTTAAACTTCACTTCCATCTGTACGCCAGCAAATTTTTCAATATCTTACTTCATTCGCGAATATTCTTATATTTGCACGCGAGCGCGAGAAAACGTGCGAGAAGTGTCTGGATGGTCACGCTATGTCACGCTATTGAACAAATTTACATGAAAATCTGCGTGGCACATCAGTGGGAAAAAAAATGACGTCTTAAATCAAAAAGCCTTGCGCTCGCTGTGGCAGCCGCCATTGGGCTATATCATTTCAGGATCGCGTGCGCGCATTGCCATTTCACGCTCGCGGTAGTATGAAAAAATTATTCCGTTTCGTGCTGCCTTCTTTTTCTATTCCTTATCTTCGAGCTAGCGAAAACAATCTGATTGTTACGGTTCAAATACTGAATAAACGTTCTATGCTATGTGTTGCGCGCAGGAAATAAATAAAACGAAACTTACTCGAGCTGAAAATACTTTAATCCGAGTGTATAATATATCGATGTATGTAATTCTAATTCTAATGATCAAAATAAATTAGACGTTACGATAAAAACAAATTATTCGGCGATTTCGAACAAAGAAGAGTTAATCTGAAATGCGCGTCTCGTGCGTTCAAATTCTTTCTATTCCCTGCAGGTTATAATAGTTTTCCGAGGATACGGTTTACCATTTTTCGCGTATGCGATATATATATAGCTCAAATCGATCTTATTAACAATTCCATTCTTGAAAATTCCCTGGTCGATGGACTTTTCATTTTTTTCTTGTTTCATGAAATTCGATTCTTCGAACGCGGCTCTGTGATTTACGAGTTATCCCGGAAAAACGGAATCAATATTAAATTCTCGGGTGAGTAAAAAGAAATCATCGTTGCTCAACGAACATTTATAATTTTACTTTATTTATTTATTTTTAATGACATGTCGCGAAATGATTCCCAACAATCTCCCACTGAAAAATTCCGACGCACTCGCCTGAACCATTAAATGCAGGATAATGATTTGGTCATTTTCACAATTTTCTCACGTATCACGGTGCGTAGATGGCGTCGGCGCAGTACACCTGCGTGGTTTTCCGCGTTTTGCGGCTCCCCCATTACACGAACGAAAGTTATTTAGCACTTTGTCGCACTCGCGTGCTTTTTGTCCGTGAGCGCGCGATCGTGTGTGCCGTCCATTGTCGATGCGTTTTAGCAAGTATCACACTTGGACGGTGCCAGTTTTAAAAGCATGCTTAAAAATTTTTACGCGATAGGTTTCAAGGTGTATTAATTACGTAACGTCCATTAGTTTATTAATTATTAGATTTTGGCGTAATATTGATATTTTAAAAAATATAGCACTTTCTCTTGTAATCGTTATCGAGGATTGGGCGTGAATGATGAACACCAAATGCTTGTATTTTATAAGATGTATAATTTAGTACCTACACATTTTTATTTTAAATCACCACACAGTGATGAAATATCTATCAAAGTCAATTACATTGACATTCATATTGAATTCGATAAGTTTATAGGACAATTACGTTTGATTTGTATTTTTATTCTAAGAGATAATTGCATTCGAATGAAAGACGTCTAGACGAGTCTATTAATGAAGAAATAACGAGTGCTTATACAAGATAAGAAACAGTTTACATATTCATGTTTAAAAATACAACCTATTCTAATGCAAAAAGGTATATTCTCAGCAAAATGGTTTGCACCATTTTCCCAACACAGTCCAATTTATTCACAATATAGAATTGACAAGCCAGAGAGCAATGGGACAGTATTAATGTGTACACGAAAATTTGATAGTCCGATTGACGAAGCTTCGAAGTGCCTTTGTCTTTTTCGGCGATGCACGTCTGTATGTTGACAGACGAGCGATCGTGCAATGCAAGCAAGGAATTGTGCAAATACCCAATTATAGACGCGCGGAGGGGATTCCCATGTGGATTTCCACAAATAGCCCGAGAACGTCAGAGAGGAAGGCATAACTATGGAGAAAAGGATTCTCGCCATCGCACTACCGTGAGAGGTATTTCATGTTTAGAATCGACGTGTCTATATGCGCGGCTCAACGAAACTCTAATAATACTGAGAGCGAGATAAACCTTAATGCTGTGAGACTCGAATATTTGGATTTAGAGTGGCATATGCGGTCCTAGACGTCTCCAGTCAATTAACCTTAACTTGTTATAGTTTTCTTTTATGAAATAGGTGATGCTATAATATACAGATGAAAGGATGGTTTTTTTCTTATACAGTTACGTTCGTATTGTTTGATTTTCAGTGTGAAATATTTCATATCCGAATAATAATAACAGGACTCAACAATTCATTTGTTTACTTAAGATCGAGCCATTTTGCGCAGTCATTATCTCGAGAGCACGTTATCAGCGTAGCGCGCAATGTCGTTTAATCAACGTACAATGAAAAAAAATGAACGAACAGCGTGGCAAAAACTCCCAGGACAACTGACGTTGATCGAAAGAAAGGACCGTTGTATCTTATCGTTGCGCGACTGGCGACGTTCACATTTGACAGTGTAATTAATTGACGCGAAACAATCTACATAACGTGCCTTGCGCTGTGCTTTAGTTTTCGCTTTCAGGTTGGTGGCCTCTCTTTCTCTCACGATATTCATAATAAGCAGCAGCCCTGCGCAGTTCAGTAGTTGCGAAATGTGCCGACGCTTTATCGCGCAAGAGAGGAAAGAGCGAGGCGATGCTCCTTCCGCTGAAATAATTCCGTAATTACCTTCCTCTCGCTGCTTATTTTTTATCGACGCCCGCGTCGTGACAACGGCCTGTCGAAACATTACATACGATTTAATTACAATGCACTTTACGCCTTCGCTAACGAGTTTTTCAAAAATCGCGCCACGATTATCCGTCAGCTCGGAATTTATCGTTGGAATACACGTATATTGTTATCGCTGCTCGTTAATTACACGTCGTAGAGAATAAACTAGCTTCAAGTATTGAAAAAGAAAAACAAACATTGCGTAAGCTTCGATTTTTCATCTTCGACGCGGGAAAAGAGAAAAAAACCAAGCACACGATCTGCACGTCCAGCGTTGTAAATATTCGATTGGCAGAGAGCAGATGCAGAATAGCTATAAGCGCGTGCAATCATAACGTAACTTTCTGTGAGCACACTTATCGTCAATTAGATCAAAGTGGAAAGCTCGAATATGAAATTGTGCGTTGTGTTTCGCTATCAAGTCACTCGAGTCGCGAAATATTAGCAACGTACATTTGGCTTAGTTTTTTACTCGGAATATCACGGAGAGTCGGTCTTTCTCGCTCGTTAACGGGCCCCGCCGCATAACGAGCCTCCACGCTCGGAGAATTGTCTTTTCTATACGAGGCGTTAGCCAAGTATCGTTGTGTCAATGATGAGCTGCACTCACCTTGGTACGCCAACGCTCACGCAACTCGGTGCGCTTCTGCGAGCAACGAGGCGGAATTTGCAAACACCAGACTAGTGTGTGAATTTCCACTGGCTCCACGTACTGCTCTTTCAACGTCACCGTATAACTGTAACATTCGCGTCGCAAGCTCAGCTTTTATTCTCTCTTTTTCTCCACTTAAATGCCAAAGACCTTACTCTTTCGCGCGTGTCTTACATTTTTTTTTCCAAAAAGTAACTTTACAAGCTTGTAAATCATTGCGGCAGAGTTTTGCACGGGATGCGAAAAAAGTTGCTAGGTTTATAAACTAAAAATAACTCGTCGGATAATATTTACGTTAAAACTAGTTCAGAAAATAATTGAAAAGCTGTGATTACGGTACACCATTTATTAAACATCTTGATAAGTTTTTCCGATCACTGCGTATCAAAAATGGAAATACTCAATCAAATTTATCCAATAATCTAATGAAAGCTACAGATATATTCGATTACTTCTACAATTCGATACATGTTGGAACAAATTCTTTGATATAACTACGTTGTCAAATAGTGCGTTAATGCTGCTCGATGAGTACGGGAAAATGTACAAAAAGCTTCTTTGCCAATCAAAAGTAATCGTATTCTATAACAAGTTTCCATTCGTTTTCTTTTCTCCTTTGAGAACAAGGAAACGCGGCATAATGCATTTATAACCTTCGTTAAAGCAAATAAGCTCTTAGCGGAGCAGCATTGAAACACACTTTTCTAAATGAATAATATAGAATTCTTATTGTTTCGAAGCGTTAAGGTTTGTTACGAGACGTATTTCATAAACGTACATTTCAATGAAAATTATGCAGAGCCACCGCGTTTCCACGCGAAAGAAGAAAAAGGAAAATTAATAAATTCAAAGATCTGCCTTTTCCATCGTACGCCGTACGATTGCGAAACACGCGCGCCAGCTGCTACGTAAGTGTCTTGCCAAGAGGAAAACGAAAAAAAACAAGCGGTACACAATGATACGTAATGTAAAGCGAACAATGAATAAAATCGTACTAATCAGCTTTCCCATAGTAGAGCGTTAGGCAGCGGTCAGACGCTCGCGAGATGTAACGAACGGCCGGTGTGTAGCTAAACCGAACGGTCGAAAAATAAAACACAAGCCAATTAATAAAGCGAGCGCAACTCACTTTTCCACTCGATGGCAGACGTGGTCCCCGGTAAGAGCCGTGGCGAGGAGCGGCAACGTCAGCAGAAGCGCTGCCAAGCGCAACATCTTTGCCGTTTACTTCGCACTTTCCGCCTGCAATCGGATTAATGTAATCGAGGTGTCGTTATGTTTTCCAGACCTGAATATGTGCGCGCGATTGTGCGCTTGCTACTCGAGCTACGGCTTTTTATGCCCGTATTAATTTTGTACTTTCAGCTATCCGATCGTCCCGAGCCCTTCTCAAACTACGCCAACTACCATATTTATACGGCTATACACGAATCAAACGTCACAATTTGCCCACGAGCCTTTGATTTTTGGAAGCTGTGAACGTTTATCACAACAACAACAAAAAAGTTACTTTGCCTCAGTCAGAGACTTTTTTCTTTTCATATGTTAATGTAATAAAAAAACAAAGAAAAATATGATATAAAGATTTTTTAAGAATACTTATCATTTCGCATTTTTAGCAGACAAAAAAATGCAAAATAAACTCAACAAGTATAGCTATATCGGATAATACCCGTCGGAATAAACTTGATATAGAGGAGAACTGGAAAGAAAAAAAATCAAAGGCAAGCAAACTGTCAAGTATAGCTTTCCGAGAATAGCAAGAGTGAGAGAGCCAGAAGTGGATACGTAGCGAAGCGAGGAAGTGGAAAAAAGATACCTGTAATAGTTGTATAAGTCAGCAGAACGACAGTGCACTAGAGCGAGGAGAGGCGTGCTCGTGACGCTTGGACCCTGCTGCTGCTCGTCAAAAGCTCCCTGGCCATGTCTCGAGTGGCAATCGTCGCACGGTCGTTCCTGTCGTCGTCGCCGCCTCCACCACGGACGTCAATGGACACCCGACTCGCACTCGTCTCATGCGTCGCGCACTACCAGCGCCGTTTTTTTTCTTCTTTTTTACTCCTCGTATCGATAAGGATGTCGACGACTCCTCTCTCTTCTTTCTTTTCTTCTCGACGCTTTCAGTCGACAGTGTTGAGTTTCCTGATGTTTATATCTGCAATTATTGATCGTCGTCTAAGATAATTCGTGATAAAAAAATAAAATTCGACTTTCTTATTAGTATCTTCAAAGTTGACCTTTATCATTTAAAAGGACACACAATTCGTTGCTGCAACTTTTCGAATACAAACTTTAATTCAGTGCAGCTACAACGCAATATAAGTTACGATATATGCGCGCTAGATATACGACACATGACCTGCAGAGCACGAGCTAAGCAATTCGATTGTCAAACTCTGACAGGAAGATAAATAGCTAAGACATTATTAACGTCGGGATCCACGAACGATAAATATGAGGCCACGCAGTAAGCTTGTAACTTATTTTTCAGTGCCCATCCAAGACCAATCCGCTCGCAGGAGCTGTCCAATGCAGCTGTTTAGGAGTAAATGTTAGCCGCAGCATGTGTACGCACAGCGATGTTATATGTACAATGGCGCGCAGTCGCACGAAATGATGCCTGCCTCATTTCTTCATTCTCGCCCGCATACGACGACTATAGGTGCGGCGCGCGTAATCGCCGCACCAAAGCTGGTCCCGCTGGACCGATTAAAAGCGAGCAGTGCGTTCTCAACTGCTAGCTGCTGCTACCTATTGCCGCCGCCGCGGCTTCGCTTTCATTGCGCCACCACGGATTATTTCTAACGGATTGCAGCTACGCAAAAGCTTGCCATTGTGATAACATGCCGATGAGATTGTCTCTGCTTTGGTCCACGGTTACCTTGGCAATGAATTTTTAAATAGCGTCAGTATATATTTCTCGCCGTTTCAACGGATTCTTTCCCTTAATGACATTCCAGCGACAATCTCTCACGTAACCATCATTTAGATCAATATCTCACACGGCAAATGCACTCTGGTAGCCACACGATAATCGAGTGAAAATTTTTATGTAACCGCAGATTCAATATTATGCACAATATGTATACCCAGGATGATTGATAGCCTTAAGGAAATATTGATCGTAATCGAGAGAGCGAAAGCGATGTATTAATGTAAAGTTACCGTAATCGTAATGTGTGCGCATACGTCGGCTCGCGCGGAGAGCGACGCACGCTACCAGATAAGATCGGAAACGGCAATCGGGGGAATCAACTGATACGAGTAGTCCCGGCACACTTACGTGCATTTTCGTCGGCTACTCGCGCGCCTACACCGTTCTATCAATGAGTCGACTTTATACCGGTCACGCTTATATTAAAAATAACAACTCACAACGAGACGTAATTTACGCTCCTCTCTATATTGGCCGAAATTGCCGAATAGAGCCTGTTTATTAAAATACCGACGACGTTGAAAATAAGTTACCGTTCCGGTTTTTATTTTATTCATTTGTTTATTTTTATTTTTTATTTTTTGTAATCCTCCTCATTACGTAAATTGGAGAGTAATGAAATTATATCACTTTATACAATGTTGCGATCGCGTACGGATGTCGCACGTAATTTCTTTTTTTTCATGCAATGAGAGCGAACCGTGCAATTTTGACGCGAAATTACCAAATATGTGCGCGCGATTATGATGAGAGGCGGGAGAACGCGCAATTGGGCAAGATCGCGCGCATCGATCGCGCGCGAATTTCAAAGAAATGACCGAGCGTTGGTAGCCACTGATTTGAAAGTATTACTCGGCGTCGCGAGAAAGTTTTTCCTTCGGAATTTACGAGTTGACACGCGTCGGTTTTGGGAGCCTACCTTCCGCCATTCGCTCGCGATCGCGTATATAAACGTCAAGAAACGAGCGAAATAACAAAAGCTTCCATCGTGGCTGGTACGCAACAAGAGACGCTATGGGAACGATAAAAAAAAACCAGTGCAGTTCGCAGAAGTATTTTCAAGCCGAAATCTGAGCATATCGTTTTCTCGCGTTGGCACTCGATAAATCTTGCATCCGATAGCAAGTGGATGCATACACACGACCCACCCATAAAACCAGCGAAAATCTCTGAGCATATCGGCAATCTACGGCAAGCTGCCGCGAACGCCGATGTATTTATGACGTTTTCGCCCGTAGCCGCCACCATAGAAACGTGTAATCGTTGCGTCACGATCGCGCCTACGTGATCTGCTGCTGCTGCTGCACGATTGTTACCTATTGCTGCTGCTGTTACTGCTATCCCCAGCTAATTACTAGACGATCTTCTTCTGGACTGTACCACTGTGTTTCCAGCGACAGTTCACATTCAAATTATACACTGTTATTCGCTCGATTTTGCCCATTGCTTTTTTTACTGAGACGAAGCGTTGCGTTTCCCGGCAAGATAAGCGAATGCGATACTTACGGTTAACGGCGACTGATTATCGTTTCTATATCAACAATTTTATCAGCCTCTTACCAGATATCTTAATTGATCGCATTTGGTTGAGAAATCGGCACATTTACGTAATTTTCAAAATCACCATATAAGAAAAATGATGATTGGCAATCGGAGAAAGTTGCAATGCGCACTCATTAAATTTTCAACTGACATTGTGCTAAAATTGAAAAAAATATTTTCGTTCACTCTCTAATCACAAAAAAAAACAAAAACAAACAGACGTCTTTTTTATGACGATGAAAAGAAAGCTTGCTGGGTGAAGGTCAACTCTGTTGCAAAGCACGTGAGTGTAACCACAAAATATTACCTATCCGCGTGCACGACCGAAGCATCGGATGAGCTTCGACTGCTCTCTCCGACCTCTTGCGGACAAAAAGGGTCTCTCTCTCTCTCTCTCTCTCTCTCTTTCTCTCTCTCTCTCTCTCTCTCTCTCTCTGTCTCTCTCTCTCTCTCTGTCTCTCTCTCTCCCTCTGTCTCTCTCTCGCACACTCGCTCTCTTATGTCAATTGAAGCGTATGAGGCACAATGAACTCTGGCTGCGACGCGGTGACACAGCGCCGATGACTAGATCGTGGCGTGTGCGTACTTCAGACTGAACGGAGTCGCAGGAGAGGAGAGAAGAGATGACTTGAGCTGTATGAGTAAGGGGTTTGCTTATATAGTGTTTATGTTTCGACTGTTATCGACCAATGAAAGGCGTAGATTTTATTTTTAGACCTTTCGTACGTGGCTTTGTGGTAGATTGAACAGTGACTAATGTCTTGGGATTGTATACATTTTTATAACGATTAAATCGAGGCTCACAAAAATGACCGGCTGAGGCTCTGCTCGGTCGACAGGATACTCGTCACTGGTTAGACTAGTTTTATCATATTTCTGTCGCGGTAGTTTTGTGTATGTCGTTACGTGGGAAACGATTAAAAATAATAAAGCCTTCCACGGTGCACTTAATATTTTTATAGGCCTAAATTTTCAAATATCTGTAATTTTACGTAACGCTAGTTTTCCGCCGCGTTCGTTTTTGTCACTTTCAATTACGTAAAAACTACATATCTCGCCAAACGAAAGAAAAGCCTAACTCGATAATTGAAATAAATGCCGAGAATCGTTCGGATGAAGTGGTAGGAAATGATTCGACCAAATATCTCCATCATTAAGTGAAACAAGTGCGCCAACAAAATCCCGAAAATTACAAGTCAGCAATCCATTTGTAAATGCGATTAGCTGGTGCGTGTCGAGCTAACAGCTCGTGCGAGCAAAGTACACATACGCGCGCGCGCGCGCGCGCGTGCGCTCACCTAGTAAAAACATTTTACGAGGGCCACCTCCAAAGCTATACTTCAGTCTGGAGGGCGTACATTAAACGAATTAAACGCTCATGAATAGTTCCATGCGGCGCGTAACTTTTGCAAGACGAAAAAAAAAATCATATTTCGCGCCTCTTTCGCTTCCCGCTAAGAGCACTTTCACACGCGCTCTGATCAAACGAAAGAAAAACGCTGTCGTCGCACGCCTGCATAGACAGCTCTGCTGCATATGCCGCCGGAATTTTAATTGGAACTTAAACGCGTCAAGATTGCCAAGGAAAGTGTCCGGATGAAGACACTGGATAAAATTTTACGCGTACATGGATATATTTTATGACTACCATCTTCATGGATATTCTTCTCATGACGAACTTGAGTTTCACCTGGATTAAAGCTATTGCACTAATATTTCTCTTTTAAAATAAGTTAATGAAAGCGATCATATAAAGGTGCATTGAAAGTGCACGGCAAGGGTCATTAAACGATTAATAACAAATAAGAGTAAGTGAACCTATGACCTTATGAATAATTTGTTTACATGTGATCATATCACCTTCCATAATCTTTATCAAAAAATTTATTCACGACCAAAAAAATGACGTCGTGATATTGCACCGAGTTTACTAATCGATAGGAAAAAAGAGAAAAGAGAAGTAATCTTGGAATCGTTTGATTCCAATCAAATTTATCCCGTTATCGTGAATCCATCGTAATTATAAACACTTTCATGGTCTCTTCAATCGCGACTGCCATTCCTGATGCACACATAACAGACTCTCTCTTTCGAACAGTCACTCGAGCCAAAACTATCGAGTTGCAGCTCCACTTGGACAACAACAAAAATGTATTGAACGATTGCCATTGCTATCGTCGAGATCGAATAATCCGAATAATTTATTGCAGGAGAGAAAAGTTTATTTACGTGTTTCCGAGAGAAAATCTGAAAAAAGAACGATGTCAAAATTTCATTCGTGCGCAACACGTTTATCATTATTATTTTTTAGCAAGAATCAAATAAAATAAAAATACCAGTGGGTCGTTTAAATCACTTACGCAGAAGAATATTTTGACTGCGGATATCTTAGTGACAGGCTATTTTTAAAACTTGCAACAAAATATTTACTCGATTCTCAAGCCATCAACTGCGGAGTTTTATGAATATTATTTTCGACTGCAATGTGCCCTGTGAAAGCAACTCAGAACACAGTCAATTGTGCTGTTTCCGTTGAAATGATCCCGCAAGTGGTGGCGTCTGTGTGAGATATCGAGCAGTGGGGAGAGAGTTAGATGACGATTAACGCGACGCTATAACTTCATTCCCTCCCGCATTTATAAAACGCATCATGGCCTTCGAAGTTAATCAAGGCCTAGGCTTTCCCTCTCGCACGAGCGCATGGATTTTAACGATGGAATAACTCGTCGTCAATTGATATTCAGTCATAGATAGAGCGGCAGTTCGATGACGAATGCAGGCAGTAGCGCACGATAATAGAAAGGCATTTCATTGCGTACGTACGTATGTATAATTGAAAATTTTCACTTGGCTACTTTATTAGTCACAGGATATTGGCAATATCGCTCGATGTGCAGCGCTCAAGCATTGAAACGGGGTCACGTGCTCACTTGCAATGGAAACCCAGTGAAAATTCCTTCGGTAGCTTCTCAACGGCTGTCATTAGATGGAAAATGTATTTCCCGATATCGTAATCGTTTTTCGTGTGACGACAAACACGCATTTAGACGCCATGAAAATTTTAATGAAGCCTCTCTCCAATTAGCTGCGCGAGATGCGAAAGCTGGAAAAATCCGTCCTTTTTCAAGCATGTAACAATCCCTATTGACGAAAAGCTTTGGAACAAGTTCTCTTTGTGATACGAAGTTGACAACGAGAGAGGCAGATGCTTGGTAGACTGGAAGGACGCGGTTCCGCTGCAGCGTTTGTAATGGGATGATTGAGTGGGAGGGAGGGGGGGAAGGCTTCAGGGCAATCTATCTCGTTGGTCGCCCAGCCGACGATGCACTCATTTGCGATTTCAAAAGCACCGGATATTCCCGTCACGTTCCTCGCTATTATTCTTTTTCTTTTTTTTCATTTCTTTTCATTTCTGCTCGTAGTGCGCAAAGGGAGCCAGCCCGCTTCTCGTCAATTTCCCCCTTGATCAAATTGACACGTCAGCAGTGTGACGTGAGGCTTGTTATATATATCTATTTTTTTTTTTAGCCGTTGTTTATCGGCATCTAGGGACGCTCGAATATTGCCAATCGTTCTAATTGGTTGCAGAGCAAACAATGCAACGAGCGCGCGCACCTCTACGGTTTGAAAAGAGGATAGAAAGTTAAATTTCGAATTTGCGAAATTCTCATCAAAAAAGCAAAAACTTGAAAGAATGGGGGCGAGCGATAAATCTGTCAATATATATATATATATATATATATATATATATATATATATATATATATATATATATATATATATATATATATATATATATATATATATATATATATATATATATATATATATATATATATATATATATATATATATATAAAAGAAAAGCTTTCAGGGCGATTACACCCGCGGCATTGAGTTGATTTCCCCACTAATAGTGCTGAAAGTGGCCCTGATAAAAATTCGTAGCTCGATGAAGCTGAGCATGAAAGTACAGCTCCGGACGTAATCCTGATAAAAAAAAGGAGCGAGTTACATCGCGCGCGCGAGAGAGAGGTTTTAACGATCGGTTTCGCGAGTGAGCTTGCGACATCAACTACGGGTTTTCTCACGATATGTACCCTTGAGAGAGCTGCCGCTGCTCTCGTACTCTCAGAGTTCAAGTGTCGAGGCCGCTGTTAATGTTCGCTTACGATTGAAATTGTTATCTAATCGTACACTTAACTAATCCTGTATATGTATCTTTATATTTCCACAGCTCTGGCACGGTGGCAATCTTCTGATTTTGAAAATTAATTTAGATCGTAATAAAGATATTGCTGGCGTCGTATATATTTTATTGCGCACATAAGAGGCAGCGAGTGAGATATTTTCCACTTTAATAAAAGTTACGACTGCAGAAGATTTTTCATTCGGATCCAATTGAAGCGAGCCTCGAAAAATTGAAATAGATCTTGGTTATTATTTTAACACTCCAAGCAAGCTGAAAATCTTTTCACATTTTAATAAAGTCTGTAGTGCCGATAAAGCTTATCACGGAAAATCTCAATCATTAATTTGAAATCATCTCCTAACCCGAATACCTGGGACGCTCCAAAAAACAAATAAAAACATCGCAAAACAAAGGGAAATGACAAGCTCCGTGCGATTTTTCACGTCTGCTTTTCCCAAGTGCAAATTACACGTCGACGGCGGCATGCGAACAAATAACAAAAGGTCCCTGCACCACTGCGGCTTTTCGCAAATACAAGTTCCGGTAAGCGAGAGCCTTGAGAAGGTCGATTTTCGGGCCCTTTCTCTTTTTGCTCGTGTCGCGCGCACGTACTCGCCATGCTGCTGGTACTCTTGAGATGACATTTACGAAATAAAAAAAAAGAGCTGCCACTTGACATACCTGTTTCGAGAGACGTTTACTGCGACATTATAGTCCGGACTTCAGTCGAAATAAATGAGATACCACAGGATTTGTCGAAAACGAGACTTTATTCACTAAAGCTTATCGGATAAAATAATCATACTCTAACGTACATCAATAATAATAAAATCTTTACATTTTACGATAAAACAAACGGGTTGAAATATCAAGACAACGCTAATGCTTTGTATTTACATCGGGTACGATCTATATGAAAGGAGAAAAATACAAATATTGTCTTGGATCTTAAAGTAATGTGTTAAGACTGTACCGGATCGTCTAAGAAATAAAAAGAGCCGACGACTTTCGCGAAGTGTGCATTCAGGAGAGTAAGGAGCCGCACCTGTCAGTAGTCTCTATCTCTCTCTCTTTCTCTTTGTACCCCTTGCGAAAAGAGAGATTACGCGCGCATGCATCGAACGATAGATGGACTGCCCGAGATAAAAAAAAGAACGCCGTGCTCGCGATGCATTCGCTCCACTCTTATATTTCGTAACTGCATTCGTCGTATGTATATATATATATATATATATATATATATATATATACATGCTGTAAAGAGTGGACCGCGGCTCCCTGCGATATTGCGTCAAAAAAAGTGAGAGAGTGAGACCAAACAAGTCAGTTTATTATTCGCACTCTCGCATGAGTGTGTCTGTCGCAATGGTATTATAGGTTTTGTCGATATCGTTGGACGATAGGCGTCCTTGGCAGCGAGTTCCGGATATACTTTACCGCGTCGCCTTGATTTTCGCGGGTGAAAGTCGCCCCGCGTTCGGTGTACGCGTGCGTGCGAGTGTTGCATTGTCCAAACGCTCCGCGCAGAGCGACGGCGGCGGCGGCGCGCGCCTGACACTTCCGATTGCGAAAGCTCTGCCGCTTGGGACAAAAAACTTGAATAATGTCGGACATTTTTTTCTTTCTTTCTTCATTCCATTTTCTCGAGGCAGCCGACCGCTTGCGCTTCTTTCTTTCCAACCCGGTCGACCTTTGAAACGTTCGTTCAATAACCACGCTCTAATTGGCGACAATCCTTTCCTCCGAAAAAAAAAGAAGAAAAACAAAAACACGGACTGCAGTTGAAAGTGGGCTGCGGCTCATCGATCTGTTTATAGCTTAAAACTTTAATTAAAAGACCTGGGCGCGCGTCGTTCAATTAGCGCGAGAGAGCGACGCGCGCATATACATTTGAAGGCGCGCGCAATTTGTAAATCTCTCGGAGGAGCGCGCCGTGCCATTGCCACTGCGAATAATGCCTACTCTGTGATATATACGTGTAAAGAGAGCTGTACAGCTCGCGCCAGTTCCGCATTCCATGAGACTATGTATTCTAGGCATAACATGTGACATAAATCGTATATACCAATGTGCAAAGACGCGCAACCGACTTATTTTTTTTTTTTATATTCTCGGCGATAATTATTTTACAATTGTCACTCGTCAAATCTTCATTGCTGGTTTTTTTATCGAGTTTTGTTACCGTGTCGTCGATTCATATTGTAACTGAGAACTTCGATATCCTTAATTTTTTTTTACCGAATACACGTAATACGTAATAAGCTCGTCCTGCACAAACGCCAAAAAGCAAACTCGAATGCTTGCAAACACTGTCCGGCTATTACATAAAAAGGAGAAAAATCGCCACTGTTTTAAAAACAGTGCGTATAGCCTCCTTTCTCTCTTAAATACATTGTACATCATCATCATTATCATCTGACGCAACGAGAATATAAAAGATGATCGATGACACAATAAGTTTGTAGCAGCGCCGTTTAGAACGAGGATAAGGCCAGGGTTAGTAGAATCATGAAGAACGAAGAAGTATAAGCATCTGCAGCACCGGCGCCGTAGAAACCGGCGCCATACACCTGCAGGTTTGCTGTCTCAATGCTACGCTTGCAGTAGTCGCCGTCTGTAACATCGTAATATACCAGAGTTATGTATCCTCTGTTGCATTAAATTTGTTGCCCAGATTTTAAGAATTTTATTGCGGCGAGTTTGAAACTGTTTGCTTGGTAATAATGGAAAAAAAGAGAGAATATTTGGCAGGTCTCCGAGCCACGGTGGCTGCCAGAAAGACGGTTAATTAGATAACGAGGACATCGCCGTTATGTCAGATAATTAAGAGAGAAATTCTCGTGATGTATACAATTACGCGTCGATGCATTTTGGCGTGTCTTTCCAGGTCGGTGCTACACTTTATTTCTCTATCGACCTATTTTTTTTCTCGGACATTCTGTGTCTGTCGGAAAATGGGTGCAAATTGTCGATTTAATTAGTTCGAGATCGCGTGTTACGTAACGCAGGAAGCACACACTTATATAGATGAGATAAAGCCGTTTAATAGGTGAAGGGACGTAGATTCCAATTCGCGTGCTCGGTCTCGCTTACCGTAAGTCCAGCCTACGAGCTCGTTCGTCCGCAGATTCTCGACGTGCAGCCATTCCTCGAGGGGACGGAAGAATTCCCTCAGCGCCGATGGGTCAAGCCGTGATACGCCCGTCGCCTCGCGAAGAATCTCCTGCCAGGGCTGCGAGGCGCCGCGTTCCATTAGCCTCCTGTTGAGAAGAAGCGATTGAAACTCTCGTGTCAATCATTGTTTTCAGTTTGGCACTTTTCGACCTTCCTCGGTGCGCTCTTATCGCTATCTTCGGAATCGACTTTACGATCGGCGACGAATTCAGGGTACTGTCGGTTCGTTTCGGGGATTCTCATTAATTATGACTTTCTACGTGACGTGTCAATCGGTATTTCGCAACGTCAAATTGCAATTATTCATCCGGCCTGCATATTTCTGTATCTCGAATGTTACCAACAATTCATAAGATCGATGGCATTTCAGTGGATGCCACCAATCTCGCGTCAATATATATGAGTTTCGTAACGACGCTGTCGAACGGAAAGAAGAAACGGCGTCGGTCTCTTTGATTCAATGCAAAAAGTGCATTCTTCCAATTGAAATTTCGTTGTAAAAAGAAACTCCGTACGCTCGAAGCAAGGAGAAAACACTAGCAAAGGTATTCCTTTGCAACAAAACATATTTCTTTTCTCCTGCATTCTCGTTGTTTCCGGCAGCGCGCCACACGTTTTCGGCGCTCGTCCTGCATTTCAATTAGAACGCTCGCTGTGACATGCCATCAAAAGTGCGGCCGAGGAGAAAGACACAAAAAGGACCTTGCATAACGTAATACGTCGTTACGTTGGTGCTGAAATATGAAAAAGAATCGAAGGGAAGCAAAACGTCTCGCTGACAATGAATTTTCCGGTAACAAAGTAGATTAATCTCTAGCTCGGGCGAATTAAGAGCCTGTTATTAAGGAGGCAGGAAGTCGGACATGAGTTATACGCCGGTGTCAAACGGCAAACTTTACGAAACGGCAAAATTATCGGTATACAGTCGCACGCGCGTGCACACTTAGAAGGGACAATTGGCGAATCGGCATGTTCGCAACGACCGAAGGAACGCTCGTAAATCAAAAGCATCGCGACGATTATATGGCTAAGGCGGTCAAGCTGCAGTTTCGCCGCGCCCGTGAGAACTGAGTCTACGGCAAAAGGCGCCTATAATTTCCGGCGCGTAGGCGAAATCGCGGGGCTGCTGCGCAACCGTCGTACAACACACTCGCTCTTCGGCCGCGAGGGTTATTCGATGATTATCGTTGTGCCATTTTTTTGCGCGCGCCGTAAGGATACATTCGGTCTCCGGGTGGCGTATCCTGCGCGAAGAGGCCGCTCAGACTTTCGCACTCTCGTCGGATCTGACCAAGGCTGCATATTTATCTCGAGGATACATCACTCACACCAGTGTATCTGCGTGTATTTCATTAGTCAACTCGACGCTTTTATTTCAAAGCCCATTCACCGAACGATCTGTGTGATCGGCTCTTTCTCTCTCTATGGGAGCTTTCACGTTGATTGAAATCGATTCACGATAAGCCGCCGTAATTGTTATGTGCCGTGTTTACGGTGATTTCGAAGTAACATAGTTTATAAATATATATACAGCAAAGCAATTCCAAAAAACTGAATTGTAGACTATTTTCATCCATTTGTTCTGAAAAATTCTGTTGTATGTCTGATTCATGCTGTTATTCAAATAAATAAGTTGCGGAGTAAATGTTAAATTAAATTTTTATAAATTTTAATGATTTCTGATCATTTCTTTTTACACTATATTGACTCGTAAGAAATTTTCCATTCATTGTTCTTTACAAATGAAATTAATCCAGTGGCAAGGAAAAGAAAGGGAATGGTTGATTTGCGCTCGTTGTTGAATGCGAAATACTTGCTGAATTCCATTAAAGTGCAAGTTTTTTTTCTCTTTATGTAATAATTTTTCTGCGAATTTCACATAGCAAGCTGCTACATTTGTATTAAATTTATTTCATAATTTCAAGATGGAATGTTGTCTATTCCACAAGAGAACACTATTATAACGGCTTTCTACAGTTAAAAATTTCACCCGGAGAATTATGCACAACCCGAAATTTTTACGTCAATCAACAAAAATATTCGCGCTCTATACACGAGTACTAACGCAGTCCAAATTCATCGGTTTTCAGGATAACTAGTTATCACGTCATGGCTTACCCGCTAAACTAGCAGTTAACTTTCAATCAAGTCTTTGACTATGCTCTTATCACAAATCTTTCCAATAAAACCATTATTCCTCGGCCGGATTTCCTACATAAAAAAGAATCTTCCAATTACATTAACGCAACAATTTCTCTTCTCGAAAATGCGTATATAATCAGGGCTGGGGCTCGACGACGCGTGCAAATTGCGCAAAATCACAAGACCCGCTCGGTAAGCGGATAATGCGTCCATGCCGCGTAAGCGAGTGTATAAGTGTATCGTCTCCGTTACGAAATGGCATCTTTGCGAACGAAAACAAAATCAACGCGATCACGTCGTTTTCATCCTGCTCCAATTGACAGGTGCTTGCAGTTACGACGCGCCAGGTGGACGATTCTGCTCACTCGGCCGCGATAACCGTGCGCGCGTGGAATCGAGTGAGAGACATATTGCGCAACCATTGCTTTCGTTGCTTCCCCCTGCACGAGTTACATAAAAAAAAAAAATAAATAAAACATGAAAAAACTCGCTCGCGAACTTGATCAAATGATTAATCATCGAATGTCAATGCACCGCACTTGATACCTTTACGTAAACGTCTCGTTTTGCTTGTGAGCTTCAAGTCGAGTTGCTTCGCGCCCTAGGAACAAAACGATCTTTCTTCCATGTGTCCTTGGAAAGTGCTTGTGAAGCCCGAAACCCAATTAACACGAATAAATCGATTGCGAATAATTGAATTCCGCGCGGGCAGACTTAATATCACCGCGAAAGCTGGCATGCAAATGTTTTTCTCGGAAATCAATTTTACGTAATGACGCGGCGGGCACGCGTATTCGCATCGCGTTTCCTGCAGGCAAAAGCAGCAGCAGTGGCGACGGCGGCAGCTCGAAGCTCGTGACATAACGATTTGAGAAGCCGAATAGAGAGAGAGAGAGAGAGAGAAGAAAAGGCAGCTACATAGGCGGTAGCTCATTCGGCGGGGAGCGATATAAAGTTTCTCGCGGTGCACCGCTCACCGAATCTCTTTCTCGACAGACAGACAAAAGCGCGAGCGTGCGCTCGCGCGAATTTGCATGGCAGCGAGCCAGCCGATAAAAATCTGTCGGTGTGCGCCGGTAGCAGCCGCGGCGGCTGTGAATTGATCGATCGGATAAAAATTGCTTTCCATTCCCGCGGCCAGTGAGAACCCTTTGTCTATATGTAATATCTTCTTAAGCATATATATGAAATGTCCCTCACGCTCCGTCTAACGTTTTTATCGTTGAGGGAGCCGCTAGTCACGCGCTCGAGTACGAATTTTCATGGTGTTCAACTTGAAAAATCACGTAAAAGCTCAATTGAGGCATTATCGAGTAGAGCGAGCGCGAGCACGGCTTTAACGAGACAAGCACGCCGGCGCCGATCGCCCGCACTAATATCTAATAACAGGCGTAAGCTTCAGGATCGTTTGCGTTCGCGTGAAAGATTACAACGCGGACAGCGGCCTATCGATCAGTTTGTCCAACGAAGACATGACTAGCTATTGCCTTCCGTGTGCCCTCGCTGATCTGCAATCAATTCTCACGTGCTGCACTTGGACTCGGATGCCCGTGATGTGGTGGTAGCACTTTCCGGCGCACGACACGCCGAAAAATTAGCCGACGCTCGATGTCAATGTGGCGCACGCCACCGTGCACACTTTTCGCAATACGATCGCGCACGCGTATGGCTTTAGCCCGCGGCATTTTAATCGCTGCCACAAAGTTGTAATTTCATTAAAGTGTATAACACCCAAGTATTAGATCGAGGCACGCGCCTCTTACACAACCGAGTTATTTGCCGCTAAAAAACTCTTCCGCTACTTTTTTTTTTCTTTGTTTAGCGCTTTGCTCCGATACAGATACGTACATACGCATATTCACACCTTTCACTTCTTTTCCAAAAGCAAAACGCTGTTTAAACGGTATTATATGTGCGTCGAGCGAGAACCCAGAGACAATACACGCTACGCGGCGCTCCGAGGATTAAGCGATTACTTTCGCACGTAGTTGCGTCGTTTCGTTGCGCCATCAGCGTTGCCTCGTTTTGCGCCGAGATCTCGAGCTTAAGATAACGATGTACGTACTACAGCAGCTACTTCCTCAACGATGAGCCGCGGGGATAAGCGCGCGGAGAGCTTTTCACCGACCGGCCGCCAGCGCCGCTGCCAATACGCACGTCACGGAGCGCACTCGGACGTCGTCGCGCGCCGGCGCAAAGTTTCACTTTGGCGTTTCTAATCGCGCGGCCTCAAAGTCGACCTTGCGCCGGAGTCGCCGTACGGATTTGTCGATAGAGCGAGGAAAGCTCGTCATCGCGGGGAGCGTCGCAACAAGGACGTGTACGTTCACTCGGGTGTCACGGGCGAAATGTCGAGTCAACGATGGGACTCGTCGAAGAAGGCGTAAACCAGCGGCTCGAGCTCATCAACGTTTCTGCGGCAAAGTAGACCGCAGATTTTAATCTGACGCTCGCGCGTAATTTCTTTTATCTTTTCTTTAGTTTCTTAATAATCGGACGCCTCGGAGGCGATATCGACCCGTTACTTTTCCATGGCTAAAGTTCAGTGGCAAGTCCACTGCCCAATCGTATTACGCGCGCATTTCTCTTTTGCACAAGTTAAGCGTTCATCGTGATAAACACCGGACACTTATTATAGGTTGAAGGGGCGTTAGAGACAGAGAGAAAGAGAGAGAAAGGATATCATAGTAGTCAATTCGTTGCTTCCGATAGTTGATACGGTGTTAATCTGCCGGACGGACTAGTAATATGCGGCGGAAGCGAGGAGATGAGGAACGGCGCGGGACAGGCTGGAGCAACAACTTTCTTTCCAAAGAAAAAAAACCAGTTCCGGGCGTGAACTCGTAAATACCGGCAAAATTAATTTAATCGCTCGCCGCAATGCCCAGGTATTCCATTTCTCTTCTCTCGAGGATATCTGAAACGAAAATTCATTCGAAGACACATAATCAGCGGCAAAGCGCTGGGATCGCTCTATTGAATCCTAAGGTACATGGCCAGCCGAAAAACTGACAGAACTTTCCCGATGTTGACCTTCGATCGTATATAACGTCCTTCAAACGACGGCTGCGGCGAGTCCGCCGGGATACTAATTTAACACAGATAAAACGAAGTTTCTCAACGCGGTTCATTATGTAACCGAATCAGACAGACAGCACGCGAACGAGGGTTTTGTTATGTGCTTTTTTGTTCTTTGATCGCTCGTCTTGACCTAAAACCGAAACACCAGGTTCACGCCCTGATGAAGCCCTGCGCATACAAAAAAAAGCTGCCTATCTCTTTTTTCCCTCGACCCGCTCGTTGGGAAACCGTGACAGAAACCGTCCACGAAATTTCACTTTTTACGGGATCGACATGTACACCAAACTTGTGTAATGGATCGGATATAATGTAGATCGATTGCGTAACAAGTTGGTGCGCAGATATAATACGGTCACGTGTGTGTGGGTGTGCGTACGTGCGCATTGTACCAGCGGAAGCCTATCTGGATACAGACGGATATGGGATTACTGACGAACGGCAGATTAATTGGCTTAAATCGCATTCTACAGACGCGATTGGATTATGGATCTTGTTTTGCACAGCGTGTCGGAATCTTTCGAAGCGAGAGTGTATGACCGGCAATTACTCGTGTGAGATATACTTTGAAATCGATCTGTGTTTTGAAGTTGACTTAAGGCTACCCGTGACTTGTCAAATTTAACTTTCTAGTAGTTTGCAGATAAATTAATCGTTTTTTGTCAAAATAATTTTTGCCGTTGAGAAATAATCTATGCGTCGACAATGAACAATTCAAAGTTTGAATAAAATCATACTGCAGTTCTTCTGTTTATCGAAGCTAAGTGTACATCGAACGACATTAGCCTAATATTAAATGAGAGTAATTTCATCAATGTGTGCAATCACGGTAACCTACAACGCGTAAAGCTACAAAGAATAGCAGCATCCTATTCGTCAATAAAACCGTCCGACAAATAAAGCTAGCTACGCTTTTTTTTACGCGCGCTACCGCGAAAGATACGCAAACGGCAGAAATATTACGAAATGGTTATTAACGGCCCATTTTTCTATTATCCCAGCAAAACAACCGCGAGAATTTTACCGGAGCGCGAATCGCGAGGGTGAAAAGTAGAGCGCGTAGCCTTTCGCGCGTCAAATGCGTGCGATTTCGCTCTGATGGACGCGCGATGGTACGGCGAGGGTAAAATAATCGCGAGCTTGCACGCTCGCGTCGTGATATCTTGATTATACGATTTGGCGATATAAAGCCGCGCGCCGGCGCAATGTCAGGATCATCTAATTCGATCCGACGTCGTTGCCACACCAAGATGAATAAGCGCGTACGAGTGCGTGGCTCACCGAACTCATTGGCTTTTATAGCATTTTCCTCGATACAAAGAGACGATCGTTCAGTTGTTGCCGCAACAATAATTGTTATGCTCGCGATGAATTATAGTCGCTTTGAAGAAAACGAAAAGAATAGGCTCGATCGCGCGGCTGCCCCGCTGCAATGTTCTACGTTACATAGATTTGGGACATGGAACGTGGTGCTTGCAAATGACCGCTAACCGTATAGTAATTTCGACGATTGGGTGTCATTTATTGAAGTGGAGCGTAGAAATTGCTACACTTATGTAAGACAGATAATTTCGAGAAGAGTTGATAAAAGTGTTGCGTAAATTAATCAAACAGTTACAACGATTGCTTTCAGCTTTTTTATGTTTTCCCTTCAATTTTCAAGCCGAACGAATCAATTTACATGTTGTATTAAAAGCGTGTCACAGTACACACGTATTATTTGAATTATTCAATCAAAAATTTGTGACGCTTTAAAGTGTTTTTACGGCAAATATATTTGCTGTATAAACATTGACAAATTCAAGTGTCAGCTGGTCTGATACGTTACAAAAATAATACATTTGTTCAGAGAAGGATTACCAGATTTACATTTCAAACGCATTTCCTTATTCCCAAACCTAACAATTTTAATGGTATTGATTTTTTTTTGATCGATTTTAGGTTTAAAGGCAAAAATCGCTAATCTAATGATGCTACAGATTTAAGAACGAAGAAAAGCCAAACTAGGCCGCGCATGAATCAAGTCAAGGGAAAACCTTTAAAAGCTCAAAGATGACTCACCCCAATACTTTGCCAGCTTCCGGACTCCTGTAGAAGTCGCACCTGTGCAATGGCTGTCGTCGGTCGTCGAACGCTTTTTGACCGGCGGCCTCGCAAAGTGCGCGGTAAAGTTGGAACTGCAGCACGCCAGAGACGAAGTTCCTGAAAAGAGACGGAGAATCATCGGCGGATAATTCGGGCGAGATACGCGTTGCCCGCGACTCTCGGAAATTTGCATTACGAGACGAGCGCGCCGCGTCACGCTCTCCATCTCCGTGGAACGTTTGCGAGGGACCCTTTACGTAACGCCTTGGCTCTTTCTCTTTGCCGTGGTGCATCACAATGGCTATGTGCGCGCGCGATCGACATTTAATTGCAACGAGAGCGATTGCTGATTTTATTCGGCGTTGCGGTGCCTGTGCGCTCATTACGGCCGAATTCTCGATTATGAAAGAACGACGCGACGCTAATTATCGTGCGTAATTTTTAATTTATCCCAGAAATTTATTAAAAACCTTAAGATTGTTTTGTAATTCGACTGCTCTCTTTTTTTTCACTTTTTCATAATCATGAATTTATAATACAAATTAAATGCGATTACCGAACAGTCGACATTTCTTTTTCTTCATTTGGCCACGTATGCCACACAAAAAATTACATTCCACGCGACGATTAATCGTGCAAGTTTCACCTCTCCAGTTAATTTTTCAGTTTTGCTAGCACATCAATATCGAATAAAAACGTGTTTTCTCGAACGTTCATGCGCTTCATGTTAATAATTAAATTTGCAAAAGCTCTTTTACCGCATAGGAAGAGAGAGTGAGAGGAAGAGCATTCTCTTGATATCCAAATAAAGGTTATTTTTGCGATGGTAACCGGCTGACCTTAGATTCACAAAAAAGTACGACAAAGTTTTGATTTCATTTCGTTCTCTCTCCTTCACAACACGATCGACATTCACTAACTGTTATACGTCTCACTTGTATGTTCACTGACATTAATTTCGAGAAGTGCATGAACTTTAATCGTCTCCCTTGGAAATTCGAGGTCTACAGAGTATGCGGAGACACATTCATTTAATTTTGGATTGGTATATTGCCTCTCATTTTGAAACTACCTGAACACGTTACGTTTCATATTTGAAATCATTCTAATTAAGAATGTCAAACCTGATCCGTGCGCTTATATTAAAAAATCTACAATGTTTTTTGAGGTAACGAGATATATGGTGAGAGTCGTTGTATCTCTATGTAACTTAAAATACGATATTAGGATCTGATTACTGGCTGAAATTTCATCAGTACAGCGACCTGTGAATGCAGAAATTAGTACAAAAGCCGTGCGATCTTTCAACAGTTTTATTGCATATATACGATAGAATTAAATACTGATCCATACACTTTCTAAATTCTAAGCAAAATTTTTACTATGTATAGCATGAACCAGAAATGTAGGGTTTTTTTTTCATATTTCAAACACTCGGCTTGGTTTCGTCAGCATTCACTTGAGTATAATTATGCGTAACGATGCAACGCCTATGCATCGCTATGCGATTAACTGGATTGAATGATTTCAGGTTTATGACTGTTTATGAGTTTATGATCGTTTGAATGATATTATTTTGGGGAAAAGCTCATTTTGTGTGGCTTAACGATAGGAGATGCATTTCATGACACTTGGGCCGATTGGCTATAATATATATATATCGGGTTGAGAACGCAACATACAATACAACAAACAGGCTTGTGCACCTTGCAGAGTGACCTTATTTTCTTCGAAGCAGTCATTCATCGGAACAACCTTAACAATGCCTCGCGAGCGCGAAGCACAGAAGAATAAAAATCGGCGCGCAATAGAGCGTCGATAAAAGGTTTAGAAGTTGATGTAATTCTATTGGCGCCCGGTCACATGGCTTATATATACTCGGGCGCCACGTCGTATATATAAACTTTAGAATATTCAAAGAATAATAGCTTAGCTCGTTTCCTTCATGCATAACGCGCATATAGCGTTTATTCTCGTTGAAGACAGTCCATTATTGCCAGGTCACCGAATGCACCTGTATCGAGGCAGTGGAGTCTAATTAGCTGAAAAGAAAAGTAGAGAGAGAAAAGAAAAAAAGAGCAATCGTCGCGCTCGGCCGACATTCAATTGTCAGTAATGCACGCGAAATTGAAAATGACGAGGCGAATGAAGACGTACCGGCGGAATAAATTAGACGGCATAAAACTGGGCCGCATAATCGATTGTTCACACAGCTGTAGGTGGACGAGTCTAGCAGCAGCATAAGGAAATAGCCAAAGACGAACGAACCAACGAAAGCGAGAGGAGGACGACGGAGAACGAAAAGTTGGCTCGTGCACGAGCGCGAGGGAAAAGGAAATCGAGAGCGCGTGTCCCAGGGGAGTGGTGGTCGTGAGCGCGTTCTCTCTCTCTCTCTCTCTCACACTCTTTCTCGAACAAAGGACGTGGGGGTAGGGACGGACTTGGTTGGCGCTACGGCGGGCTTCAAGCAAGCGAGTGTCAGCCTTACGGGGGCCTTATAGAAGGCGAAAGTGGCGGGCGTATATAAGGCCCCGAACGCCCGGCAATCAGCATCCAGTTCACTCCTGGACTCACCCGGAACATCGTGAACGAACAACAATGAGGAGTTTGGTACGACAACCATATTCGCCTCGAAGTGTGCGCGTTCAGTGCTTTACGAGTGTTTCCTTTAATGATCGTTTGTTCTATGGAACTCGCGAAAAGTGCCGATTTTCTTTTGAATTTTAACAAGAGTGTTTTACCATTTTGTTAATCCGTTAATTCACAGTGATTACTAAAGTTTTTTGCAAGGTTCAAATAAATGATCAAATTAGTTGTTATTACTTTTATTTTATTCGATAATTTTTTCGCCCACTTAAAAGCTCATGTCGCATTAGAACAATCGCGCTAGCATTGTAGAAAATGGTTCTAAGTTTTACATTTCTTATAGATGAACGTAGCTGTTATCGCCCTCGTCGTATCGACGACGTGGGCCGAGGAAGCCGTGAAAACAGAGGAAAAGCTGAAGAAGAACGAGAAGCGTGGACTTCTCAATCTGGGCTACGGTTACGGTTATGACGGTGGTTACGATATTGGCCAAGGTGCTGAGCTTATCAACGGCTTGGGATATGGCGCTGCCCCCATCGCTCACAATTATGTTGCTCCCATCGCACATAGCTATGCTGCCCCCGTCGCTCATGGCTATGCTGCACCTATCGCGCATGCTGCACCCGTTCACGCTGAGACTCACCATGCGAAAATCATCACCGTGGAAAAAAATGTTCCAGTGCCCTACCCCGTAGAGAAGCATATCCCCTACCCAGTCGAGAAACACGTACCTTACCCTGTTAAGGTGAGTAAACTTTGAATTGAACAAAAACGAAGAAAGTTTTAATGCAAATCAACGGTTATTCTAATACAATGGATCTCGAATTCGTAGGTTCCAGTGCCACAACCCTACCCCGTCGAAAAGGAAGTTGCAGTTCCATACAAGGTCTACGTCAAGGTCCCAGTCCATGTACCACAACCGTACCCAGTTGAGAAGCAAATTCACGTCCCAGTACATGTGCCAGTCGACCGCCCAGTGCCTGTTAAGGTCTATGTGCCTCAACCTTACCCAGTCGAAAAACACATCCCTTATCCCGTGAAGGTTCCAGTCCCACAACCCTACCCAGTTGAGAAACAAGTTCCAGTGCCTGTGAAGGTCCCTGTTCATGTTCCAGCTCCATACCCAGTTGAGAAGGTCGTCCATTACCCAGTCAAGGTTCCAGTCGACCGCCCATACCCTGTCCATGTTCCTCAGCCCTATCCAGTTGAAGTTGCCAAGCCCGTCCCATACCCAGTTGAGAAGCAGATACCATACCCAGTGCAAGTACCCGTAGACAGGCCGGTACCAGTCCACGTCGACAGGCCCGTGCCAGTGCCCGTAAAGGTGCCCGTGCCAGCTCCATATCCAGTTGAGAAACCAGTGCCGGTACCAGTGGAACATCCAGTGCCTTATCCCGTCAAAGTCCCAGTTGACAGGCCTTATCCCGTCCATATTGAACGACAAGTCCCATACCCTGTTGAGAAACCAGTCCCATACCCCGTTAAGGTACCAGTTGCCGTGCCCGTCGTCCATCAAGAGCACTACAGCCACGTACCAATCAAGTCCCATGGATGGCAATAAGCCATTGACAGTCACCGTCATCGACTCATCACAACGACGAAGTGCCTCATAACAATAATCTACGACTAAGGATCATTACATATTGTCTTTTTGTAAATTATCTTTTCTAAATCACCCTCTACAGTCGCATGACGACTTACTTTTGCATCTAATCAACGATCTTGCAGATCGTAGCTAATTGACTGTCTATTATTTTTTTTATAAGCTCGGGACTGTCGAGCGAGTGTGTTGCATTTGAGTCGAAGCACCGCATAGCGACCGTCCTGAATATCGTGAGGACAAGGACCTCGAAGCAGATTATTTTGTATGATTGTTTTTGTACCAACTTAGGAGATTAATGTATTTTTTTATACGGAAGTGACATAAAGAACAATTGAAAAATTAAACATAATTATTGTTTTTTTTTATTTATGCAAGTACCTCAGTTTCCGTCAGACATGAAACACACGTAAAAGTGCAGCTTCGATATATACGAGTGTAACGGAAAAACAAATAGCAATTCAAAATTACATAAGCGATTTCATAAGCGTAAAGACCCTTTATTCCGATACACGACTCACGTGTGTTGTCATCGTGGCTTTCCAATCAATATCGATTTATTCACGGCTCATAATTTGGCACAGCCAATTCTCCAATGTTATTCAAACGACAATCATAAATCGGCAGATTAATGACTCTCATGGCGAGTAAAAGACAAAAATTCCCCTTGCTGATTTCGTCAGCTCTCCGGAGCACGCGAGAGTTAAAGCAAGCTGTAGAGCGGTTGTTGGAAAATGGCAAAGGAAGCGGGCGCAGTGATGAAAATCGATCGACACACTCGCGCGCGCATACGCTACGTGCGCGGTGCGTCTCGTTGCGCAAAGATCGTCGCGCGGAAATCGCTTGCACGCGGTATATAAATTATACGTTAGTGCTCCGCGGCGGCGGTCTGTTCAAATGAATATTCGGCGTGTACGCTTTTAAACGCTCGACTGCGTCGCGCTAATACGATCCCCTCGCATCGCAAAATTGCCGTGTAGTCAAAAGACTTGCGAAAGCATCGGCGATGTGATCGCTATCGATTACCGATCGTAAATAGTGCTCTGGCAAATTCAAGATGATAAGCCGCTCGTGGAAAACGGAATCTCGTGGATGATGGTGAAAGCTTCGAGTTTGTTTGTTTTTTCTATGCGAGGGGTGATCGATAATCAGGCTATCCGCGTACCGCAAAGATAATCGCTGGGCATTAGTTTTTAACTATAATTGGACTGATCGGAGACCGTATAAAAAGGTGTAATTTTTTCATTAGATTTTCGTAAGAGCCATAGTCAAGTTTTGTCCTCGATCCACGCGAGCGAGAGAGAGAGAGAGAGAGAGGGAGAGACAGACAGATAGACTGACGACAGAAGCGTAGGGAAGGGAGCTGAGAAAAATGGGTGAGAATAGGTCTTGCAGTTGCCGCGTAGCCGCTAATTATACGTATGTATATATTAGTCAAAGTCAGCAGCGGCATACTCAGGTGGAGCCTCCAACGTGCTGTCGATTTCGCAATTTTCCCGCCATTCACTTACGCTCGCCTCCGCGTATGTGTATGCGCACTGCTGCTCTAGCAAATGCATTTGCAGCCACAATAACAAATAATCATTAAGAGTACACGGTCACTCGCGCAACAATGCTCAAGCGTATCTCCAAAACGAGCGAATTTGATTCTACGTCCGTCCGTCACGCAGCGCAAACCTATGATGAAAAGGTCTGCGAAAATCTGAATTACCGGCTAAAATAAGTATTTAAAAAGAAGAGAGAAAGAAGGAAGGAAGGAAAAGTGAAGAACGAGGTCGATACATCGTGTGAATAGAGCGAGGCAAATTGCCGGCGGTCGCTAATTTCACGCGACAATCGGGCACTTCTGAAACGCCCGGCGATATACAAAAGAGCTACATGGGCGACCTGACTCGCGCGACAGACCTTACGTGTGCTTATTCCGTTGCATGCGTGTAGGAGAGCGCAGAAGGCGAGGAGAGAGTTGCGCAATCCATTATTAGCGGGAGCACACACGACGCCACTGCCGCCGTTGCAAGTCGCGCGGGGCTGAAAGTAAGAGTCCTCTTTGTATAGCTACTACGTATGCCCGGAGTCAGAGAAAGAGAGACGCGCTACCTGGGCAATTGTCATGGAACTGGGCCGAGGCGAGAGAAAACAGTGGCAATGTGATTTTCTTCCTTGTCGATCAATGCGACTTACAGGCGCACCGGTCAACGCTCGCTACATGATTTCCATTTCTTTTGGATACGCTGCGGTTACATTGCCAAGTTGATCGCGAGTGTTCGTCAATTTCTTCGACTGTTGCGAGAATCCTACTGTAACGTTTCGGATGATTTAAAAGAATATCGATGAAATTGAGAAATCGCAATGAATATCGCTTTCCAATCGAATTTTCTTCAAATCGTTGAAAAGCTCCGCGATGGCTGAGTGACTCCAGTAGCTAGCGCTCTGAGCGCGTGGTGGAACTTGCTGGTGTTCGCAATGGTTATCGCAGTCGGCAATGCAGGTAGCGAACGATACGACGAAAGTCATTGAATTAAGAATATTTTAAGCTTTCGGCGCTACGAATGTAAAATGATTGTTAACAATCGTGACGTTCTGCTAGAAAAAAGAGATAGAACTTGCGTGCACCTACAATCGCTCGAAGCTACAATGATCTAACTGAATAATGAATTGTTCGAAAATTACGCGAACAAATTTACTTCCGGCATTGCTCGAAAGAAGTAGTTCCAAGATAAAGCGGTTGCAAAACACGATGACGTATTCGAAATTGTGTTTGCGTGTCTAGCCGATCGCGAGCACTTACGACTCGTAGGCTCGTGAGATCTCGCTTAAACCAAGGCCCACTATGAACCTGTTTATAGGTGCAGTTAAAATCGAGTCTACAATCTGACTGGCGCGCGCGCGTGGGTGGCACACAGCCACGAAAATATAAACAATGCTTTCTGACAGCTGGTGGAGAAAAGTCTCGATGGAAAGGTACAGATAGGCGGTGTGGCTAGAGGTCCAACGGGAGTTACGTCGAAGAAAATGTATTATTCAGGCGCGATTATTAAGGGGGAAAGGAGACGAACGACGTCTTAACGACAGACGAGTTTTGACATTACGTAATGTCTCGTTTCGTGAAATACTACGCTCCGACAGAAGATGCGAGGGATTATTTGGAAGGCGCATTCGGATCACGATTACAGAGGTGACGAAAAACTTTTGCCCGAAGTGAGAACTGCGATTCTAACGGGAGATAGATCGCGTGTGTATGCTGGAGGGGAAGCATTTCTTAATTTCCAGGCAAGTATATACCTCGGAACAAACGCATGTGCAAATGATATAAAATTGTTGAATAGCAGCTAGCTTATACGCGTCGCGTTGGCCTTATGAATAACGTGTGAAATTGTTGGAAGGATGTCGGAAGAATGTGAAATCTGGCGTCCTTGTTCTCGATCAATCGGTAACAAAGAAATATGCTGCTTGATATCAAACATATACAAGAATATCTAATTACTTTATTGCGATCGGATGACAGCATTTCAGATTACATCAGGTCATTAGCAAAACTTTGAGTAGGTATATCATGAAGAACTTTTTCCAGTGCATAATTAAAATGTCAAAAGTACTCTGCTAATTAGATATGCTGCAAGGAAATACGGCATCGAGTGTACATTCCAATTAATGATATTCTCATCGCGCGAGCGTTGATGTATTAACATCTAAACGTTGAAAGAACGTTCTAGCGTATAATTCAATATGACTTTTACTATTCATAATTCGTCGAGCTCGCACGCAAAAGAAAGAGTTATAAATTTGATTATGCAGCAGCAGCTCGCAAGCTGAATGTCGATTATGATCACCAGGCAGCAGCAGCAGCAGCAGCAGCAGCAGCAGCAACAGGCCTACTAACGCGTCCGCGCGGACGCGGCGAGAGCATCGCGCGTAAACGAGAACGTTGAGCGTGCTCAGGCAGCCGTGAATAATAGCCAGTCGTGGCGCCAAGCTACTGGCGTGATGAGAGGCTATGAGCTTGATCGCCCAGTTTCCAATGGATTCTCTCGCGATTCGCTCGCGTGACCGTCGTGCTCCTCGTTGCAAATCTTTTCCCCTTTTCTCCCTCCTCCCGCTCTTCTCTCCCTCATCCTGAATTTCAATATCGATCGTATCGCGCCGGCGGTTCATTGCTCGTCCATCTAACGATACACTGCCTTTTCTAAATCAGAATTATGATGTTTGATTGGCGATTATACCTCTTGCTAATTTCATTCAGATTGCTTTCTATCGCTCATTCGCTCGCTCGTTTTCTGTTTCATTATGCTGATTGGGGGAAACTTGAGCAATTGTTTCGAGGAAAACTAACATTTTCACTTGCGAGTTATGGCGACGCTTGATCGTTTTGTGTCACTATTCACGTAACATATTTTATTTGTCAATTTTCTAATCTACTCCAGTGAAAAAGATATAATCGTTTCAAATTCAGTTATATAGTATATAACGTCATAAACATTTTATAATCCTGAGAAGTAAATGAGAAAATTAATAGTCAACGGTTGACAATAAATTTTTTTAGTTAGTAATACATAATTCTTGAAGAATTCGCAATTCTTTGTCCATTTTTTTGATAAAAGACTGACGTTATAAAAGTAAATTAAATTCTATTGTCTAATATACTCAGAACGCGGCACCTCATTTCTAAAATGAATCTGAAAATTCGCACTGTAATGCGATGATATTTCAAGTATTTCTACAATCAATTCAAAAAACCTGCCCAGCACTTTATTAAGGTAAAAAAAATGTTGGGCAACCAACTGCATCTCAATTTGATACAGCACGCAAAAAGACAATGTTATTTCCGTATGGTGCATGCAGAGCTTATAAATAAAAAGGTGCGCGTAATTGCATCAGATGCGAGCGCGTCTACGAAAAAGAACAAGATTGCAAAAGTATATATTCTTAAGGATGAGCGAGCTTGGAATTTTCGCTCTCTCGTCGGCCGCTATTAGCAAGGACATTGCTCGCCGGCTGCAGTAAAAATTTCACTTTCAGGCGCGTGCTCGCGGTCCACACACGCGCGCGCATTGCTCGAAAGCGAAAACGCCCCGCTACAAGATTTGCCCGACGTATGTACACGATGCGCTGGACCAAAGCGTTATAAAGAGCGAAAACGCACGTAGGTGCTCGTTCAGTTGCGTCAAACAACGCTTGAAGATTGCTGCTTGCGTATTTTCTTTGAAGCTCTTCTAGAGCACGAAACTTTTCGTCATGAGACTCATGGTAGGTTTTATTATCGACCGTGATTATCTGATTTTCGTTCGTGGGTGAAATAGTGCAAAAGAAGTGCTGATTTCGACGAAGCTTTTCAAATAAAAATAAAAATAATCATGTTCTTTATGTATGTTTTTTGCTAGTGTCGCGCTTCGATTCTACTCGTGATAATTGCATTGACCGTGATGATTGATCAAATTGACTCGAAAATCAAGAAGGTCGAGTTCCTCATTGATAAAACTACCAATCGCAGAATAGGCTACGTAGTGACGAAAGTGCATCCAATAGACCGCAAGGATGATTTGAACGATACCAAAGAGGCAAAGTTGGAGGTCAAGGAGAAAAAGAAAATAGATCGAAACAGTTTGGGCGAAGATGATCGAGGTGAGCGTGTGCGTTAATTTTAGAACTCACATTTTGATGTGATAACTACCGTCCACACTTTCATGCTTTTTGAAAATAACAAGCACTTAAAATAAATTACTGTGTTTAAATCTTTCTCTTCCAGACTTGACGAATGAGATGTTTCATATAGATCAAACTTTAGATGCACAAGCAGTAGAAACATCATTTTCAAGTAAATTACCTACAGGTGAAATCAGTAGTGCTTCATTACCTGAAACTCACTTAGACCATATACCAGAACAACATGTGAAAACGGTGACGGTTGTGAAAAAAGTTCCTGATCCATACCCTGTTGAAAAAACTATACACATACCTATTATCAAAAAAATTCCCTATGCTGTTGAAATACCTGTACCTGAGCCATTTCCCGTTGAGAAGCCTATTCCATATCCCGTAAAAGTTATTGTAAAGGTACCAGTGCATGTACCAAAGCCAATAGCCGTTGTTAAAGAGTCATACTACCCTGTACACGTTCCAGTCGAGCGCCCAGTCCCTCATAGAGTCTACGTTCCCCATCCTTATGCCGTGGAGAAAAAAGTTTACTACGAGGTTAAAGTTCCAGTACCTGAGCCGTTCCCCATTGAACGTAAAGTTCCTTACCCTGTCAAAGTTGCCGTTCACTATCCTCAACCGGTCCCCGTAGATAAAATCATCCCTTACCCTGTAAAAGTGGAAAAAGATAATCCCATACCAGTACCAGTTATCAAATCCTATCCGGTAACAGTGACTAAACACGTTCCGGTCCCAGTGGAGAAAATTGTGCCGTATCCCGTCAAGGTTAAGGTTGATAATCCAATCCCAGTGCCCTACGATAAACCAGTGCCCGTAAAAGTCGAAATACCCGAGGAGGTTCCTTATCCAATAGAGAAGGAGATCCACGTTGCGGTAGAAAAGGAGGTTCCTTATCCTGTAATAGTGCACGAGGGGAAGAAAGATAAGGTGATCGAGAACAAATCGGAAGAGTCTAAAGAAACTCCAAGGGAACCTCCAAAAGTTTACGAAGACTCGAAAGAGTAGGACAGGTTGTAAAAACTATTTTATAATTTCATTTTTAGGGTATCATTTGTTACTGTTATTTGAATTACTAGTGAAATTATTGAATCAATCAATAACCTACACTGAAATAGTATTGCCAGCACTTTTGTTGTTAACACTTCCGTTGTGATGTTTATAAGTTATAGAATATCCAGTCGAATGATAATTAATGTTTACGATAAATTTTCTAAAATATTCTAAACTATTTTACTTTAGATGTACTTTTTTGATAATATATTAACTATTTATATTTTAATCAGTATTTTCTTATTATTTAATGTAAAAAACTATAATCGTGCGCTTAATATAAGACCTATCGAAAGAAATCGAGATGAAAGTTACGAACGATAATTATGCAGTCACGCCAAGTGCCTATATATGTGCAGCTCTTGATCGTTTGTTATGCCGCTGTGATCATGATTAACTGTAGCATTCACTGCATGTTCTGTGAATTTTTTTAATTTTTTCCTCCTCGCTAATCGCAGCGTATTAACTCGGTTAATTATCTTAAATACGCTGTTTAAGCTATAAATCATGAAGGATGCGTCTTAATTGTAACTCTCGACAAACAGATGGAAGAATATTGAGTTATATGAATTGTCTAGAAGTACTGTATCAATTATGGTTTATATTATCTAAAAGTACAAAAGAAATATTGGGCATTCGTGATACATGAATAATCGACTTTATGATTCTAATAAGAAAGCTAGCCAGAAAAATAAAATCTTTTGAATAATTAGAATTAAGGTATATTGAAATTTATAAATGTCATATAAACAGAATAATTGTAAAATTATAATATGAAATTATAAATCTATTATAAAAATTAAGCGTCACATCAATTATAAAATTACTCGAAATAAAAAAAGTAAAATGTTACGACCTATTTGATAGCATGCCTCAGAGTCGGATACAATTATCAATCTGGTACAAAAAGAAAAGAGAATGGTCAAGATATTGTAGGTATTAAAATGTCTTGTCGTTTAAAGCTCGGACGAGAAAGTGTCCGCAAGGTATAAATATTACTACAAGCCGTCAATTCAAACTTCAGTTAGTTCAGTCTAGTGCCTCAGTTAATCCACGAGCACATCGTCATGGGACGTTTGGTTCGTAATGATAATTTTTTAAGCAAATTTTACTAACGAGCAAAGTGTCAACTAATACAATTGTTTACATGAAAACGTCACTATAATAATTTTTTATTTATTATTTTCATACTCAGAGTTGATACTTTGAAAACGCTAAATATTTTAAAAAAAGTAAACGATGGTTCATGTCTCGAAACAGTGGCTCGCAACATGGGCTGTATTGCTCTACAGTTCTGTAGCATTCGCGGGTTACTCCACTAACAAAAAAGACTTGGAGCGCGCAGCTGAACTCGCAGTCGAGCGAGCCGCTGAAAAGGCTGCCGAGCGTGCGGTAGAAAAGGCATTGAATTCCGGGAATTCATCTACCATCACAGTAACCGTAAAAGAAGCCTACGAGAATACCAAGAAAACAGCCGAAGAAGCTGCCGCACCAGGTTCCGAGTCAACACGACCGCATAATCCGCAAATGTACGACCGTCAGTATGCTTATACGCCACCGGTAGACGGCGATTACAAAGTTAGCGACTCGGCTGAAGCGGAAGAACTCGGGGTATCCAAAGAGTCATTGAATTCGAGTGTCGAAGACTTGGGATCAGCAGAGGTTACCGAAGGATCTGCTGACAAGGAACCCGAGGAAGAAGTTGACGTTGATCTACCACTGGAGCTCGCAAGTTTTGAGAGTGTTAAAGAAAATGCTGACGAAACAACGGACTCATCGGGAAAAGATTTCGATGTTTCTCTCGGAATAGATTTCGGTCTCGATTTTGGTAGTTTAGACATGAGTGGTGATTTTGGATCGAAGAGTAGCGCCTCCAGCAAAACCGAAACGTATTCAACGTCGGTTTCAAAAGATAACGGATCAAATCCAGTGGATGTCAGCGAGGACGAAGACGCGGAAGTCTTTGGAATGTACGCCTCAGATTTTGAAGGATCTGGGTGGTCGAGTAAAAAGCAGAAAGGTTGGGTGAGACATAGACCACTCTGGGATGACACTAAAAGTCGGGTAAGTCGGGGAAGCTTATGGGATGATATAATGAAAACGGACAAAGCCGACGAGAAAAAACGAGATAAAAAGTCATCTGACAAACCGAAGCCGAAACTTTTCAAGCGCAATGCTGGTGATTTCGAGGCTGCCGAGAGTGGTACCAATCAAGTTGCTGTGCCCTTGGCTTCGCTCTCGCTGGATCCCAAGGCACCTGCATTGCTCTATCAGTTACTTCAAAAAGAACTGAAATATTCCAGCAGCAACTACAGCATCAAATCACCCATACCAATGAGACTTTATGTGACCGTTCCGGTGCCGTATTTACGAGCAAACAATCACGATAATGACAAGGAAGTTACGCATATTACACCTAGACCATACAGAACGACTATTGCACCAAAAGAAATCAACGACGAGGTAACTATTTTATAAACTCGAATGGTGTTTTTAATACGATTTTTTTGACATTTAGTTTGTACATCTCTTTTTGTTTTTAAGATTGACGACCAAGGAGCAACCGAGACGAAAAAGCCAGCGAAAAGGTCAAACAATTTTGGATCCCGAAACAACTTGCCTCTTGTTAATAGAAATAATAATTCCCAGAATAATTATCAATCACGAAGAGAACAATACAATCGCTCGTTAGTTCAAATAACAAAGCATAAGGTCGAACTGAAGAGTTCTACGACTAAACCGATCCTCGAAACCGCACGTATAAAACAAAATTCGTGAGAATACTTTTAATCTTGTGTACTTACGAGACTTATCAAAATACTTGCATGTATTCTTAAAGGAAAAAAAAAGATAATTTTCAATTTCTCGCTTTGTTTCACTAATCTATACTGCCATCGTCAATCGCCGAATATAACAATGTCATCATCGAACAATCATAAACTTTTTATAACCACTCAATAAACATAATTACTTGTAAGAAAAATAAATCATCGATTTTATTTCACTTACCTTATGTATGGGATGTTGGCTGGAATATGATATTTGGCGCCGGGATCAAAGTCATCCTCAGATCTCAAGTAAGGCGGTTTGACACCGGCGTAACGTTCCTTTAATCGATGCCAGTGACAATTGTACTCCTGACGCCCGACAACGCCACGGAAAATATCCCAACGCCATTTGTCTAATGCAATACTGTAAGGCAGTAGGACTAATTTCTCCATGGCCAAGGCGAAGAGGTAATTTATATCAGCCGCCCCTTCGTCTACGTATTTATTCCCTAATCCTAAAGTTTGTAAATGCTTTGGTGTTGCTATACTCAAAGCAACAGCTTCTCCGACTGCCTCATGAAAACCTAAAATAATAAAAAAGAAGCTTTTTAGATTCATGTAAAGAAAACAAACGTGAGATCGGCAGTATTTTTCAAAATTTAATAGACGAATAGATAACATTATTTTTTGGCTGTAGAATAACTTTTACTCTCTGTTTTTGTACGATATTATTTAAAAGAACGCCCGAAGATAGAGAAAGTCGAATTAGCAATGATAATAAAATTTATTATTGCTCAGTAGTGAGAACAGTACCAACTTTTGCTTTCTTTCCTGTTGCCGAAAGAAAGGTACAACAAAAAATTCACTTCCTTCACGGGAAATGATAAACACCAAAAGTATATTGATCAGTAAAATATATTGGTTTGTTACATTTTTACGATAGCCTTACCAGGATTTGCTCCATCGCGGAATTCACGAGGTAGATGACTGTAGCGAAGGAAATACTGTATATGAGCCATTTCATGATGTACCGTTATCAAATCTTTCATTGTAACTTTAGTGCACATTTTTATTCTGCAAATAAAAAAGTGTGTATACATTAGTAGCCCACAGAACGGATAACCAAATAATGGATTATGAATATTGTTATTACCTATAATCAATACGATTACAAAAGTCCCAAGCTGAAGCTTGGCAAATAAGAGGTCGATCACCTGGATCGACGATTAAACTTCCGGCCCAAAATTCTGGCGGAAGGGCACTCAAGTTTAGTGATATGAAAAAATTTTCTCCCACTCGGAACATGTCGATCGGAGTGTAGCCCTGTAAAAATGAAAATTATTATAACATACACATGATTAATAAAATTATAGTATTTACAGAAGCAATTTTATTGCGAACCTGATCTATCATTTCTTGCGTAACATCCAAATAATTTTTTCCAGGGTAGGGCTGTGTCATGTCCAAAATATTCGTCCACGATTGTCCCCAAATGTTGCCTGTATAGAAGATGAAAAAATCAATACTTTTAGAAATAACTATACATTTAATTGCATACATATTTGAATGCAATTATTAAATTATTTACACGTGCCATTGAAAATGTACGTGTGAAATATCCTCATTCGATATAATGATATTCGTGATTGTATTTAAAAAGAAGAAGAAAATTACCAAGTATATGACCGGGTAGTGGAGCTTGACCGCTTATCTTTTCTGGTCCATAAAGATCCCTCAGTCGTTTACGCACGTAAGCGTGCAATTCCTCGTATAGCGGCTTTATTTGTTCCCAAACATCGTCGATTTCTCGCTCGAAATCGAAACTTTCATAGGGGAACTGCCAATAATCCGCAGCATCAGTAAAATCTAGAAGGTAATTTCATTTGATTAATTATAAATTTGGGTAAAATCATAGTGTTAATAAATAAATTGAAAAATCACTTACTGTTCATGCGTGCAGCTTCGTTATTCAGATTAACTAATTGATGATAAAGATCCTTCATTTGCGAGCCACTTCTTCGCCTCCATTCAAGCCAAACCCATTGTAATTCATCCCAATCACGACTGCGCGCCATAATTGTTGATATTTCTGTATGAAAAATAGTTTCAAAAATATCGAGAATCGTATTATCATTGCAGATAGAATTATGTGTTTTCGCAAACTTACCAGGAAATAGTCGTAAACCACATCGAAGAGGATCTTTGTATGCGCATATCGTAGCACTGTTGTAAATCGACAGCATATCGTTGATGAGTCGATTATACTAGAATTAATTTAAAAAATTCTTTTAGATCCTTGTCATAGTCTAGAAGAAAAATTTAAAATCAAATAATAATCCTTACCCTGTCGAACTGATCAGGAGGAAGAGCCGCGGGTCCAACTGCCGACAAATACCTAAGCCTTCTTCGAGTGGTCGGATCCCTAACAGAATTAGGATCAATTTTGTTGATCTGCTGCCACGAGTGAAATTGAAAGTCGGCATAATGTCTCTGTGCTTGTAGCTGCATAACACAACAATAAAAATGTCAATTAACGAAGAATTTCCATTTATATCGCACAGTCGCGTGAATGCCAACAACAATATCCGCGTGCTATTATAATTACTGTTTCTTTTTTTCAAATGAGACTTACATCACGCACGTTCCGAGTTTCCGTGAGATTAACCAGTATCTATATAGGATAGAAGCGCATCGCAAGCGCGACGTGCCATTTCCTCGCCTTTTTTCATTCGCTAATGCCGTCGAGCTTTACCGGTAGAAGATAATGCTTCGAAGTGCTATTTTTCCGTGTCGAAATCTCTCGCTAAAGTTATGTTATCGCGCGCGCAGGCGTGTTTTCAGTACAGAATATTGTACGCGAGTATTTTTTCATGGTACACTTCGATATGTTTCGCATCCTATGTGTAAGGAAAATATCGAGGTCGATTTGGATCGAAACGTCTTGTAATCGATGGACCATCAATCTCTTTGATAAATCGACCTTTATCGACATATTCGGAAAAACGTGTGTGCAAGAGAGAGACACGTGTATGTAGGTTAATTGGTGTACGGATATACGTGCGTACACAGGAATATCGTTGTTCACTTGTCTTCGAAGGAACATTTTGTTTCGAGCCTCGTTGAATACCCTGGATCTTCGTAGATTGCAAAGAAAAATATAAGGAATCGAAATTGAAGCTATTCTATGCCCGCGCGTGCATTGGTAAAATAAATACTACTCCTTCTGAAGCATTTTTCGAAAAGAAAAATTGCAATAAACAAAAATGTGAAGCAAGGCAAAAAGAAAGCGGAAAAAAGCTGGTAAGATTTGAATGAACATGGGAGGGGGAGGTACTTGACCGCGTGTCTGGCTTAGTAGTCGCTGGTGCGCGCGACGATAGTTAATGCGTCGCTTACTCAATAGGCAAGCGACGATAAACAATAGCATCGCCTGGGAATGTTTCCCGTAAGAAGCGTCTTTCGTTCCTCTCCTGCTATGGAAATTCACGCTCGGAAGGAAAATGTGCGGGAGTGAACGGGTCGAGGACTCTATATGCATTTCGAGATCGTTTTCAATTACTTTTTCTCTTTCACACAATTATTGTCGGATGCGTGTGTGCAAAGACTATTCGACTGTTTTGTTTGATAGTCCGATGTGAGTCACTCGATTTATTCTTTTAAATCAACAGACGCGTTAGGGATGATTCGACAAGTTTTGTTTTTCAATATTGCTCCACCAATAATTGTCAACTGTTGAATCATTGTCAACTCTCAATGGGGACGAAATTAACGGGCGCTGATATTTCATCATACAGATAAGTGAATATACGGGTGTAAAAAACTTCGAAGAAAGTTATTCAGAATTATTCGGGCATAAATAGGTCGATCGATAAAGACTCGCGTTTCCATAGCGGCACACGTAGCATGTTTCGGTAAATTATGAAAATACCACTACCGTCTGTTGTCACGAATGTATATATTATGAACAATGCTGCTCGAAGAAGCGAGTCCGATTTATTAATTATTAATCAATCCCAGTAGAAAGTTCACTGTATGAAAACGAATGTTCTTTTAACAACATAAATATGCTTTAGGCGACATAACTGTACAAGTTAGCGTAATGCAACGTAAAAAGATAGTAAACCAAATGAAATCATCAAGATTTCTGCAACGTCACTACGTGCGTTACATAATAGCAGTCAGAAGAGCGTGCGATTCTAAACTTCTGCACTTCGTTCTAAACAATATAAGCTGGCTCACCGCTTGTAATTGGCTGACCAGGTTCACGTTCGTCTCGTAGTTCCACTGGGCAGCAACGTTGTTGCTGCATCGCTGAGTGCCCACAAAATCAAGACTCGCCAGAAGGTTTCTTAGATCTGGCTCTGGAGGACGGTATCGATCGTTATCTTGGAACGGCCGTCTATTGCCGTTACGATCAAATCTCTCGTCCTGGAAGGGTTGTTGCCTGTTGCGTTCGCGATCGAAACGTTCGTCTTGGAATGGTTGTTGACGATCGCGATCGCGATCGTCGTAACGACGTTCGTCTTGGAATGGTTGTTGTCGGTCGCGATCACGATCGTCGTAACGACGATCATCTTGGAATGGTTGTTGGCGATCACGATCACGATCGTCGTATCGACGATCATCTTGAAACGGTTGTCGATTGCGATTGAAACGATCGTCATCGTCTGGTAATCGTCTACCCTCGTTTCGATCATAACGTTCATCATCTAACTGACGTCGATCTTCGCTTCGATCATAAAGATCATCACGCAGTGGTGGTAGATCCAATTGGCAGGAGACTAAGTGTACGACGAGGAGTAGCAGCAGCGTTATTGTCATCTACAAAACATTTAGTTATAAAATAGACTATATTTGTTTTCTCATAGTTCTCGTAACTAAAGTAAAAAGACGTAAGGTTACGGAATTTAAAAGTAGATTTTTTGCTTTTACACCAATCCGGTGAGTTTTATTATGACCGTGACACACGCAGTTTCTAAAGGCTAAATATCTTGCAGATATGCATTTAGAATGCATCTGTCAATTTGCAACTTAAAAAAGCTAAAAGCTAAACGTTCTTAGAATGAATAATTGAAATTCGAAGTGCAATTAATGCCTGGCAGTAAAGAAAACTATAATCTCTTTTGAGTTCCCAGTGAATCATCTGACACTTGGAACTATTTGAATAATCGCTCCAACATCAAAAAATTGTTAAGAAAAAGCCACGACGCTCGTTGCGGTACATTACTCATCATTGCAGTCGATTAATATTTCAGATAAAAAGTGTGAATTAACAAAAATAAGTGGGTCGAAAAAGATTTTTATCGTGTACAGAAAGCTGGGGAGGGAGCAATTACCTTCACATTTTTTAGAGGGGTTGAATTTCAAAATAATACGCCTGTTTCTAGAACCTTATTGGTTTTTAGTTCATTATTTGAATACTGAATTCGACTTTTGGTATGTGGAAATAGAAAATATAATGAAATCGTACTAACCGAAATATATCCCTCAGTCAAGAAATTTCTAGCATTAAAAAATAAGAATATTTTTTTTTACAATTTTTTTCTTAAAAAAAATGAAAGATTTTTTCCAAATTTGAATAAACATTCCTCACGAAGCCATTATATTTTCTCGTGTCATGTCGAAGTAAGCATGCAAAACACTCACTTAGCATTTTCATTATCAATTAGACAAACTGGATAAGTAATATGCATACTCTTCGCAGAATCAACACGCGACAGATGCGTAAAAAGTCCATGAATCACAAGCGCATCGACCATTGATATTCAAAAGGATTTCTTAAGTTGACAAACGCCATATCGTTCCCATACTGGTATGCGCCTCTTTGTTTCTCTCACTGCTATTCAGGAAATAGAGAAACTCGTCTTTATGAAAAGTTGTGTCAAGCTGTATTATGAAAAGAAGAATCATAAACGAGGAAGCGAGCAAACACACACACATAGACATGCTTACGACGTGTACGCAAATAACAATTGCTAGTGATATCGCGTGCCACTATACATCCTTTTTTCCCGAATAAAGGAAGAAATAAGAAGTTTCTGCATCAGCGCTCGCAAAATGTCCTCCGCCGATAAATCCTCATAACAGATCTGTGCAAGGCTACAGGTTCAAAGCTCCTCCCTCCTTCTTCTCGCGATCATCTCGTGATACCGTGAGAAAATAAATATCGCGAGCGTGAAAACGCGAGCTGCTCGTTTTAATAGGTAAACGCGCAGGAGTGACATAACTGACAGCTAGGCAGTGCTATGGGCAATATGCGAGGTATGTCAAGGGAAGAGATATTTCACGTTGCATTTCACGCTGATCTGCTTGCCTCTATGAGACTCGTTTTCTTTTGTTATGCAAACTCGTCTCTGCGGTCTTTGATGTCCAAGAAATCGGATAATCTGCTCATTCTACGTTCAATAATTTGTCTTCCTTTGACGTAGACATTAATTTTCAAATGTACACGAAGAACAAAACAGTGACTCAAAAACAATATTGATTCATGCACGAGAAGTAGTAAATTAATCTTAAATGTCAGTTATGATGATTAGTTCATGTAAAACTACTCCGACTCAGTCATGTACTTGAATTTTAAATAAAATAACAGATCGGACACTCACAAAGTGTAATCTTCGCTGAGCGACAACGCCCACGAATACCGGCCGGTGAACCACCTCCATCGGTGGGTATCTTCCTTGTCTTCCCGCAGCACAGATGAAGATCAATTTCTTCACACAGCGTCTCTTCCTTCAAAAATTCGTAAGAGAACCTTCCAAACTTTTAATCAAGTCACACAAATCATGGACAAGTCGCACAAAGTCGAAGCGCCAGTAACAGAAAATAAAGTAAAAACAAAGCGCACGATGGCGTGCGTCGCCCACTTGTTCTCTCGTACGCAAGGAGTTGTAAACTAAAAGCTCTGTGGGCAACGACGTATACATTTATCCCTGCGCTCCTCTCTGTGTGGAACGACACGCGGGAGGTCATCCATAGAGTCGCAGGCCGCCGCTGCCGCCAAACAGTAGTGGGAGGTATGTACACCTGTTGTTGTCATCGCCTCTTTAGCTTCGTCGCTTATACTTACTTACAAGCCTCCCCGCACATGACGTGTTCGTTGACAGCTTACACGATTGCGTGGATTTGGGCTTTTTATTCTTTAGTGGATTTTTATTACGCTGAGTGTGTTACTTCGAATGACTTTTCCTTTTCTTGTAATAAAGTAATTTAGATCGATATACATCACCATAACTATTCAACCTCATATTCACCAACTCTTTTAGAGCCAAATGCAACAGCCAATAAAATATTCATGGCAGACACATTTTCTAGAGTATTATTAAAATGCTTATTGAATAAAATAATAATGCGCGTACTCGTATAAAAAGGACGCTGAGCTCATGTCTGAAATGTAACAACTATTTATGTATTTCCCATGTACGTAAGATGAATCCGTACGACGTACAATCCAGAAAGCAGTCTACAGCTCAACTGACAAGCCAATTCAGTCTGTGTCAAAAAGCTTTGCTAATATTTTACATGCACAAAAATTCTTTTTTTCAAAACCTCGAGTTTTAGATAAAATGTGTTACTAATTATGTCGTTAATTGACTTTTTGAAAATACAAAAGCGTTGAGAGGTTTGCAACATAAAGTGTCAAGGATTTTTTCGTCAAGTTGATTTGTAGTGTGCCACACTTGTAAGTCCTGTTGTTTTTGTGCAATCCTAAGTACTCGAGTAAAAAATACGAAAACCTATGTACGCTAAAAGTGATGAACGTTGTTATGCGGAAATAGGGTCAATGTCGGAATGGAAAAAGTTTCCGAAAAACAACTGAATAACGAAAACAAGATCTTCCAAGAATCCATTAGGCACTTTATTGGACTTACTTTAGCTTTGTCTGGAAATATATTATGTAATTTAAACGACCGAGCTAGATAATTTTTTTGCTGACTTTATATTTTTAATAAGCTCAGGGTTCCATAGATTTTGATTGAGAGATATCGGAATCATAATATTTCTTAGTACAACACTACATTTATTGTCTTATATATGTTTAAATATAAGCCGCTTGTACACAAAAATACGACTCAGACGCTATAAAAACCGAGTCAATGTCGACGGCAGCGTTTTATAAAGGACATTTAAACACCACTATTATTTTTTAATTAAGAGAACGTTTAAAAAATAAGATGCCATAAACTTTGCGAAATTATATGTTTTCTGTTGAACCATGAGCGAAGATGACATTAAATATATTTTCACTAAAAATAGAACAACTCTGCCGCCATCGGAAATTGATCTAAATTAATTGATTGTATGCTAATTTGTCAAGGACAAGAGTGCAATATTTTACATGGCGATGAAAGATAATCGCATGTACACCCTAAGGTTATCCTATTCTGAGCATGATTGTTTTTCTGGTCATTACAACAAATTAGACTTCCAATTACGATAATGTAAGGTAAAAATCTTTAAATAATTCACAATTATGAATCTAAAATTAGAGGGCTTTACTCATTGTCTCGCAAAAACAAGTAATTAACCACAAAACTATACATATATAAAAATGGAAAATTGCTATATATAGAAATGTTGTTCGTTAATTTTTCGCATGCATTACTTCGCGAAGTGAACCGAATGAGAATGAAGCGAGTATCATTGAAATTAAGGTCCTTTTTCCTCTCGACACCTAGATTATTTCCTGCGTAGAATGAGTCAAAGAATACGCACGTCTGCGATAATCAAACACGCAGAAGTAAAAAGTCAAGGATCCTCATTCTTTCGGTTGAAGTCGGGAAACTTTCGTATGGGTTAGGTGGGGAAAAAAGGAGAAATAGAATTGGAATTAAAATATAAAAAAAGAAGAGCGTATACACGCGTACGCTACGTGGCGGCCTCAGCGCTTGCAACACATCACCGCTACCAAGCGCGCGGCATATATTCCCACGTTGACAGACCTAGAGTGTGTAAGCGCAACGGCGGCTTACCTTTTGTTGTTTCGAATCGGGTACTTAGAACTATGATATTCTGCGTAGTAGATAGCCTTCAAGCCCATAGTCGAATATTCTACGCTCTCGTTTCCTTCTTTCGCTTTTTTCTTTTTTTTTTTCTAAACATCGCACATGTTTTATTTCCGCACAGTGGAGATCACGCATACGATGATGTGTTTACTTACAGATACGCTGTATCGATTTCGACTGGTAATTTTAAAGAACATTACACATTTTCTACTCTTTTATCGTTTGAATACATGAGCGATGTCGATTAGAATGTTTTTTCATCGCATTTCATATTTCCGACGTATTTATGCCCATTCACGGCAAATCCATCCAAGTGAGTCGCTCGTGAGCAATCAAATTGTTATCGTGTGTATATTTTACTTTACGATATCTAATTGTCGACAAATGTCAGTAAATCATTTGTATCAATTATTTATACAAAGACTTATAGGCTTTTTTTTTTTAAATACATACCTGTAATCATTCGAAACTATGTGAACAAAACGTCCCCTGCTGAGATCACCGAAATAAAAACTCGGCGACTTTATACGACATGACATCACACGTAAATTTGCAATAGCCAAAGCTTTTGTTCCTACGCCCGGCCATAAAAAATGATAACTCAGGGAACAAGAAATTCCGGCACAAGAGACAAGGTTGTAAAATAAAAAGCATACGAGCTTCTCACCGCCTATCGCTTCAATTTGATCTTGAGCGTTTTCTCCATGCGTTCACGATAAGTCCCCAAAGGTATACATTTTAAAAAACCCAAAAGAAAGAAGCTACAATTACGAAATTTTGTCACAACGGCACATCACCGGCGGCGAAAGCGAGTGTGTTTTGTATTACATAGTTGCAGGAAAGTCCGTACTAGCTGACCTTGACTCACTGAAATACATTTTAAGCTAAGTATCTCGTACATGCATCGCACTACCTAATTTAAATTTTTCGTATTACGCAAAGCATTTTGGCACATCGGAGTCTCAGTCGCAGACCCATCGCTATCTGTAATAAAGTAAAGTATTGCATTACGTAGGTTACTGATGGATTTTCGTTCCAATTGAATTTGAAAGCGAGCGTAGCTGCAATACGCGCGAATGGGTTCCACAAATATTGCAGTGCCAGCGTATAAAGGAGTTATTAGATAACTTTGCGCAAGTAGAAAGATCACGCAGAGCAAGAAAAAAATAAACGAAGTCCTATCGTGGATGTGTATCTCAAATAGTACTAAGATTATTGATCCATTCTGTTCTTTTCCTTCCGCGATAATTATCCAGCTCCAAATGCAATGGTATGCAATTGCGTGCAGACGCGTTGCTTCAAATTCATTCGCTCGGTCGTCAAAGTGCCTCTTGCACGCGTTAACTCTTTTCATCACATTATTTTGCATTAACAGTAGAAGCAGAAGGAAAAGAGTGGCGACTTGCGAAATCGTGCAGGAACGGGGACGCAGTTCTTGGCTTTAATGCGACGATTGACACTTTGCAAGTCGGCCCATTGTCTGGTTTTCTTCATTTTTTTTCCTCTTTCTCTCTCACTCACTTACTCCCTTTCTTTCTCTCACTCTCTTGCAATTTCGTGAATTTCGTGCGACGTTGACGCTTCAATTGTTCGGCTGTCACGATGTCACGAGAGGTGCCTGTTTTTTTCTCTTTTTTCTTAAAACATGCACCCAGCGCAAAGAGCAGAGCCGTTCAACGCAATTCCGCGAACGTAAACACATAGTCGAGGTTTTCTTGCCTTCTGCTTTGTTGACTAATGGCCGGAGAATATAGACTGAAAATTGGGTCTTAGATAATGCTAGTCAAGCGATATATATATGTACATTCCTATTTTATCTATTATTATATTGAGACAATTCAAAGCGTATTATACGCATGAAACAATAACTGACGCATGCATTGCTTTCCGTTTGTGTAACAATCTTTTTCCGGTCGTTTTTACATATAAGTAGAGGTTGTCGTCTCTCCGTGCCGATCCACGCCCAAGTTTTGACGTCAAGTGTGAAAAAAAGGTGAAAAGAAAAATAAGCGTGTCAACGAACACGTACGTACCCGATTCGAGACTTGTATCTTAGCAAAATTAAACGAATCTCATAGTTAAAAGTAAATTGCACGCGATTGCGTGTAATTGCTTATACGGACAACGTGATTAATGTCGAAGAGATATATCATTTCGAAAATAAACATCGTGCTACGGCACTGGAAAATGTATAATATTCTTAGCCAGCGCCATCAAGAAGAGCGCACAACATAAAATCGTCGCATTGACCGTATAGCAAACAGCGCGCATCCTTGATAATAGTTACGCTAGCAATAAAAGAAACAGCAGCGAGCAGTAAAAATAAGGAAAAAAAAGTACGTCTCGTTTGCCGTAAAGTAAAACGGTAATATTTGAAACAGAAGCAATAACGGACTTTTGAGAATCAGAGCTGATTAATCAGAGAAGGATATACGTCCAGTGCCGGTTTTGCATTCCTCGAGAAAAAAGCGGAGAGACCGCGCCCAGGAGTGGCGCCGAGGATAGTCCCACGATGATCTGGAATGGCTGCAGAGTAGCTGCGCATGGCGAGAAAGGACCTTGAGCCATTATATGACGACGTCGTTCTTACGCGTAAACCATGCGCTTGCGCAAGCACACATCATGTCGTCGAGAATGTATTGCTTACGCGCGACGTTCCGATGATTAAAAGAAATATGTAGAAATGCCAACACTGTGGTGACCAACGTGTATTGTCGATGCGATGTGTGGGTGCGGATTGACGGTTTTTACATGTGAATGAACGGCTTCGACCGACACTAATTTGTCGAAGATAACTCCGAATAGACGCTGTGCGTATTGGTCGAAGGAAATTTTTCATGACTGTACTTCTGTAAAAAGGAACGAATGTCTGTTTATCAATTGGTTTTTCCGATACAAAATCTTGGGCCTTATCAAACAAGTTATCAAGATTAAGAGTATTCGTCTGTTTACAATGCAGAAGAATTTCTCCAGTTACTCGCTTTATTAGCTATGTCTATTAATGATATTTATACAGTAGTGAAAATAAAAATTGCTTTCAAGACAGATACAAGATGTGATTATATCAAGTAAACCAGTAATTAAATTAAATTATCATACTAAGATCTCATGAACATTAGATTGTTTGTATTTTTTCAGAAAAATAACTCATCAGTGATAACAGTTTCGTAT